CGGTCAAATCTTGATCATCATGCACATAAACCAATGAACTCCGTCTCTTTCGTTAGGATACCCGTCACCTTTCTGCCTTTCAACCAACTAACCTTTGTCTTGTGTTAAACGCCACACTAACAGAATGAATATTAACCAATGAACTATTGAGTTGTAGGTCATCTTATTTCATTCGTTGATTCTGTTAAAATGTACGACTATTTCTAGTGGTTGACTAGGCCAGTAATTCAAGGACGCGTCAATGCACACGCTACCCACGCTGGTTTGTCATAGATAGGTTTTACCAGTATTATCAGATTTTATGGTGGAGTGACGCATGGACTGTTTACTTTTTACCTGATTTAGTTGCATTCAAGTTAGTTTTATTTCTTTAGTTTTCTTTACTCAATAAGCATTATAAATATTTTATTAGAGGTGTGGTGTGTGATATTATCATATATTGAGTTTTCTCACTGGGCTATAAAAACCTACTTTGGTTAATTACCTCAGTATTACTCCAGGGATATTCACTCAGTCGTATAGGTCTTTGTAGTTTTTAACTTCATCATTTCATACAAGACGAAGTAGGCATTGGGTTGAACACCAGTAACAGAGCGATGTTTGGTGTGTCGGTGAAATTGTTTTGATCCCACATCCTATCCCTATCAAGGGTTTTAGTCACTCTAATGGATTCGATTTCTCTAATGGAACTCGGACATGTCCCTGATTTCATTGGAGAGATAGAATAATGCAATCCTAACTACTATAATTGTTTTCACTGCCTCTAAATAGTTGTGGTATGAAACTTGAGTGGTATTTAAAGGCCGGCCTAGTAACTAATGTGATGACAGGTTACGTTTCTTCGTTTCATGAAATAATAAACATTCCAGTTGAAGTAAAAGAACCTAATTGTTTTTATCGGTCGTTTCTAAGGTGGCCTTTAGACAATAATGAAATTTATAGCCGATAATGAGACAACTACGCTCGTACTTCTAATTAACCACCACGTTAGAAGCCATAGCCCTCGAAAACGAAGTGGTTCTAGGCGAGTAGCTTTGACTACAACAACTGAAACACCTAAATAGGTTTCTACATTTTACAAAAAGCTACTCTTGGAGCTGAAATGCAGATACTTAGCTGGGAATTTAAGTGGTTGTTGGGATGGCTTTTAGACCATTAAAATATCACAAAAGGGCGTCACTAATCGTTGGTTAGTAACTTTCCTCACTTTCAATAACGATAAAGCAGCATTTAGACATTAAATTGACCATAAATTTGATACCTGTAGTTCAACCATCCTTCCATTCCCATACACCTTTGGCTCTGTTGCTTCCAATTTGTATGTCAAAAGACTGGATTAATTTCCAATATCACCGTTGTCTAAAGCAGACTTTTTGGGCATAATAATATGGCAGCAGCCACATACTACTATTTGAAAACTTGAGTAATTAGAAACCACTCAGGCCGACCTGTAAATTTCACCAGCCAAATCAGAGTTATCTAAACACCGAACTGCCGTTCCGCTTGTTTGAGACCCAGTCAACTCACCAGCGACGTACCCGGACAAATTCAGCTCATTAAGTCGAACCGTTCACATCACCTGAATCTGACTGGATAGCTGACTTGAAAGTACCTAAAATAAGATGATGAAATTGCAAATGACTTTAAAAAACTACTTGCTCCACGTGAACATTTCTCACGGTTGAGTGTTTTTCAACTGTTGTGTTAACAAAGTTTCCGTTAGAAACTATCCATAGAAACACTGTTGACACCAAAGTTGTGCGATAGAAAAATTACTCATCTGTGTTCGACATGTCAACATGGATTATACAGTTTTAAACCATTTGCAAACTCATCATCTTTTGATAGTAGTCACGTGCGGATTCCTGTCATAAACTAAACCACCCATTACCTAAGAGTCAGTTGTTGGGATTAGGTTTTAGACCCTCAACCTACCGGTTGATAGTCACTTTCTGTATACAATGGATCACAACTCCTCTTCAGTGTATTAAGGGTAGATTTTCCAGTTGAAAATGTTGTTTTATGCGACTAGAAGCCGATTACATTTACTGAAGTTATATTTACCACAGATCTCCATCGATCCGCTAAGTAGAACCATGATCAGCATTCATTCTGTTTATTACTTTCCATTGTTTATTTGATCTATCTGACTGTTTGATATGAATCCTTTTTCGACTAGATTAATGGTGTCAAGTGTTGAAATCTTCGATTATTTTCCACGTGCATGTTTGTGTTGATGTACTTGTAATTCTCCGTTGTGTTGCTGGATCGAATTATTCGACCTCTGTTGGCATATGGGCACTTATGTAGATCCTTTGATATTGCCTGGATATATCCGTTGTACAAGAGGTGGCTATCGTACCTCAGTGGCCTAGTGGATAACGCTGTGGTGTTTGAAACGACGGGTACAAGGCTCAGTGGGAACAACACCACTCACTTGGGTGTAGGCACATCCAGCTGACGAGTCCCAAATCGGACGAAACGAGCGTCCTGAGTTCAACTGCTGGCCACAACTAAGTAAATTACTTGAACTGTCTGGTCGTTGTTCTTTCATAATACCATCTTGTTTTACTCTACACGCTTATCGATGTCTGCAGCCAGCGAGCATCATTAACCCTCGCACAGTAGGTGTAGCTTGTAATCTATTGCAAAAATATGCACAAGGTTGTTGAGTGTATTTCTAATTAAAGCTGTTATTTGCCAAGTAGTTATATCTGATTACTCCCGAGGAAAGGTTAGATGGTGCGGTTGTGAACTTTCATCGACGCAGATGACTGGGATGCATGTCTAGTCACTGCATCAATGCAAGAAGTCCTTGACTGTTGGTTTGAACCACATCGAAAGATGCAGACTAACCGCTTGCGGCTCATGTAACAAGAAAAACTAGTGATTGGAGACTAGATGATATTATCTCAGAATTGATGTCACTGGCGCAGATATATCCACATTTTATCTTAATCCTAACCGTTATACTGACTTCAGCACTTCCTTATTCCTGCTGCTTTTGATCGATTTTTCTTTACTTCATTTTTGTGTTTGTTTTTTTACTTGATATGCTAATATAAGGTGTGACAACTTGAACCACTGGGGGCAGTAATGTCTGGTTCTATATTGATCTTGATGATGATATCTGATTACTTGTTAAGTTTTGCAGATTCAGTCTGTCGTCTAGATGGCTTTAGTTGATAAATCCACTGTATGCATTGGTTTCACGTCAATTAGTTGGAGAAATGATGAGTTACAGAGAATTATTCAATCATGTCTATATAGTAATGAATAAAATAGCGTCAATCATTTAGTTTATTGTCGCTTAGTACTGAGTAAACTCAAGGTAGCGGTTTTTAAGTAGTAGCTATTTATTCAACAGCTTCTTAAGTCATATGGTGAAAATAAACAAACCAACGATATAGAAATCATCGGTCCGGACTTAGTTTACACGGTTATTCTTAAGCTGATAGTAACGTATTTTTTTATACTTGGCCCACACTATCATTCAAGCAATTCTTTTACCATTGATTAAGTGATATACTTGTTTGGATGCAACTAAGGTAAAATAATTATTCGAAGTACGGGCTGCGCCTAATATACAAGCGCATACGATATTTCAGTATCTCACGTGTCAAGTAAAAATACTGGGTGATGATTGAAAGCGAAATGAAAACCTGAGCTATGATATTATTCGAATCAGCGATCACCGAGTTTCCGGCTCGGTGCTCTACCAACTGAGCTATGAGATCCGACTACTGAGCAGATTTTTATTTCATTTCAATCATCAATGGTTTTGTTCGGCTGCCTTGTGAATTCATGACGCGTTACCATCGCTTGATAATACTCACATTGGCCGCCCATTCACGATTTTTCATTCTAATTCAAATCTAATTGGATTAGAGAGAGGGACCACCATATTGATTATCATTTGGGCCATCTGAGATATCCGTGGTTCGGCGTAGTATGTATGTGAGAACAAATCGGAAACTAAACGTATATTCAGTATTATTTTTCAATGTTTCTGTCTTGCTAGGAAGACTTTTTTCAGAAGTATGAATCTGATATTAAGTTTTTAGGTTAATATTGCAGTTTTGATATCAGAAAGGATTCTTTTCGATCATACAAGCAGACGGAACAAGGGTTTACAGCAACTTGTCGTTTAGGTAAATTTAAAGTTTGTTTTATCCCGTCATTGATTGAACCGAAATAATCTGTCTCTATTGGTATATGGGCTCCTTCGCGGATGCCTTGATATTCCCTGTGTTTTAATTATATCCAGGACGCACGTTTCGTCCTGGATTCCACTGCTAGCCACTATCTATCATTAGCATATTGATTAGCCAGAAATTATCTGGAGTTTGATGTTTTGGCGCTATTCATTTCGAACAGTCTGATCACGCATAAATTCGTCAACTTAATTTGTATAAAAATTTACCATCAAGGTCAATTAAGTCATAAGATGAGTAAGAAATAGGAACGGCAAAAAATCTTGGTATCATTTTTGGTATGAAAATTAAAATCAATACTACCAAGTGAACACCAAAGTAGTGAGTACGAAGACCAGTATAATTTAGGTGAGTGATACTAATAAATGGGTCAATGAAGTTTATTCCATCGTCATATAAGTTAGTAGAAAAATATGGTGAAGAATTTTGTTCGTCTGTAATATGTAACATTAGGATGATGAGTCATCAGAGGGAGTAAAAACAAAAAACGAGTTAGGAGAGGTGATTATTTTTAAAACAATTAGTTCCCTTTATAAACTTCGACAAAACAATAAGACGTAAATTGTCTGAACCGTGTAATGTATTTGCGCAACACATTTCGAACTATCTGATCACACACGTACTTGTCATAGGTATTTATATAAAAAACTCATGAAGATAAGGGGTGAGAAAATAAAAAGGGGTCAGGTTCAGTACAAGCGAACGTTAGTAAGGTGCCTATTCAGCTGAATTCAACGAATATGCACCGAGGATACTTTAGAAGATGAAAGAGGAACACTGACTGATATGCTGTTGGAAAATAACTATCCATCAACATTTAACAGACAGAACAAAATCAGCAGAGCGTCAAAACTAGAACTGCAGTCAGTCCCAAAGAAGGATGTCTTTATCAGCCTTCCGTACAAAGGTGACTCTCAGAGTGCAATTCTGAAGCAGAGACTTAACGCTGCTGTTAGAAGGACTTACTATGCAGCCAGGGTTCCAGTAATCGAAACCACGAAGCCCTTATATTCCCCCAAACCCCCACAGCATGTGAACGATAATGTCACATCCCATTGTATCTACCAATTCAAATGTACGTGTGGTGACACATACATAGGGAGGACTAATAGATCCATGCAAGTAAGGGCCTCGGAACATATTCCAAAGTGGCTTCAGAAGCAAATTAAATCACCTGAACCTATAAATGTTGGTAGCAGACGTTCAAGTTCTTCCATCGCTAAACATATCGTTGAGACAGGTCACAGGATTCATATGGCTACTTCCTTTACACCTATTTACAAAACATGTTGGGGAGGGATCCTGAAATTTGTTGAAGCCTTAGCTATTAGGAAGTTTAAACCACCTTTATGTATTCATAAACAATTTGTTGTCACATTAAACCTTCCTTGGTAAATTCAACTATTGAAAAAATCAAGTTCGATGTACTATTATTTTTTCGCTCTATTGATTTTCATTGTTATTCGGCCTTTAAGTCAGCCTTCCTACCTGACCCCTTTTTATTTTCTCACCCCTTATCTTCATGAGTTTTTTATATAAATACCTATGACAAGTACGTGTGTGATCGGATAGTTCGAAATGTGTTGCGCAAATACATTACACGGTTCAGACAATTTACGTCTTCTTATTATTTTGTCGAGGTGATTATTGTTAGGACTGAATCATGTGGAGGAGGCAGTGTGAAATGAAATTGTAATCAACCTTGTCTTTTTCATTTAGGACTTCATAAATGACCCTTACAATAATCCTTCGTTGGTGATACAAGGAATCCCCTTTCGGTAGTTTGAAAGATATGAGGTACCAAAGTGTATGCATGACCTGCTTTCTAGATCTGTCTATGCAGTCGGTTTCTCAACGCCGTTCTGAAATGTATGTAAAACACTGAAGAATCACCTGTTTATTTGTCCGTTTTAGGTTGATGTTGATCATGAAGTGACATCAGTTGGAAAGATATTGGGAACCTGGGAGCAGTGAATAGCTGTTTCGTCTAATATGGGACCCTTCAGCAGCGCGATCCATGACCCTACTCTTCCGGGGATCGACTTTCAGGTTTGACGGCCAGCACGTTACCATTGAGCCATTGAATCGGAGCCCAGTGGTTCATACATCCCACCAGTGTCAGTTCGTGATCCCTGACGGGGTCGTGGGTATGCACTGTTGGGGAGTTCCATACCAGAGTGAAACAGCTCTCCAATGCTTCCAGGTTTCAAATGTTCCTCCAATTGATGTCAGTCCCTGATGAATACCAACCTGAAATCAATAAACAAATGCCTACAAACCTCCAAATTCAATACCTGTTTATTTTTTAAATCTGACTGCAGAATATTTCTAAAGGCTTAATTATATTATCGTTATTTTTTTACTGAGGTAATGGGGTCTTTATTACTTTTTAAATTAGACAGTTTACTGATCAGTATATGGTTGTTGTTTTTTTAAAATGCTGTATACAACCAGTTTTCAACTTCCATTTCTTTATTAAATATGATGATTTCCCGCTTTTAACTTTCTTATTTAGGATATCACGTGTTAACATCACATGGAATATTTCAGGCTTATACAAAGAACAAATTTTCTAAGATTGATTTTATTTGTTGACTTTACATGCTTTCATTGCCAATTCGCGTAAGGTGAATGAATATGTATACAACGAGGTAGTTCAACTTCTCCTAGACTGTAAAGCAAATGGATAAATAATACAAAAGTAATACGTTAATAACTTGTTATCACTTAAAAAGTTGCTTACACTATTATAGTAACGATTTGGTGATTTGCACAAGACACTCTTAATTGTCATACCGTACGTAGAATCTATTATTCTGGGAACAGAATGAAAATCATGATATTGATTTCTGGAAGTTACTGTTCACATCATGCTTGGAACTACTAAAATAACCAATGGTTTTTTTTTTACTATGCAGAGTTATTCGTTTGTTTGTTTTCTGTCCATGAATTGAAGAAACCTCGCCTAGTTAACTAGTTCACTAGTTACTAGCCCATCCTAAGCCCGGATAAAGAGGGAAGGTTGGGCATATAGGGCTAGCAACCATACCCCATAAAACCAATCCAATCGCTAAAAAAAACTTCAAAGCACAAAGAAACTGTAAAAAATAATAATAAACTTATTCCTCGCTGGAATCGGGGAGACAGAATGACGCCAGATGATGAAGGCATTCGGAAAGCCAGTCGGCCGATGTATCGTCTCTTCTCTCGATTAAAGCGAAATTTATGCACCATGTTTGAAGCTGGCTGGCAAGGTTGCCAAGATTACAGAAGAGATGAGAAGGTATGGCATAGATGTACTAAGAATCTGCGGAAGCAGATGAAATGGAAATGGACTCTGAAAAACTGTCAACTGGAGAGTCGATGATCTAATCGGATATTGTCACTCAGAGGAGAACCACGAGCACACTGAGTTTTGGAGTGGGTATCATAATGCCCACTCTTCCGGAGCATCGAAGGCTCACTCTCATACAGTGTGAACCAATCTTCTCCTACAGCATCATGACAAGAATGTTCAAATCAAAAGGAAGGAAAGTCGCAATCATACAATGCTACACTACACACCTAAAATTTAATGCAGATCAAGGGAAGAAGGAGGAATTCTACGGATAACTGCAATCAGTGCTAGACAAGAGCACATCCCAGTTGGCGACATCAAATTCATTCTAATGGGTGAGGTGACATGAATGGCGAATTGGGAGCAGACAACACGGGGCGAGAAATCATCATTGGTTGAGAAGCACTGAGTGAAATGAGTGAGAATGGAGAAGTGTTTGCAGACTTCAGTGCATTCAGCGATTTTTGATTGGAGGCAGTGTGTACGAGCATAAGGATATCCACAAAGCGACCACAGTTCGAATTCAACACCCACTAAGAACATAAATTGAACTGAAGGACGAAACTATAAATGACATCTTCACGTCGTCAGTCATCAGGAAGAAATGGGAGACATTGAACAATATCACTGAAGGAACCTGCTTGGAAGAACACTGGAACTCTTTGAAATCCATATGGAAGCAAACCTGAATAACCGTGTTGGGAAGTAGCACGGAAGAAGCAAGACAAGGAATGGATATTCAGGGATACATGGAAGCTGATAGAGAAGGTAGAGGAAGACGGTGATGGTGGGGTAGAAAATGAACCAGTGTGGTGCAGGGATGAACACGGAAAAGGGGAACTGAATACAACCTATAAAACACGACACTGGACAAAGAAGTGAGGGAGAGTGTGTGGAAAAACAGAATACACTTCTACGACACATTGGCAAGTGAAGCAGAACAGACATGTTGGAGGTAGGAGAGACAGAGACCTGACAATATTGTATCAAATAACGAGGCTAGTATCTGAGAGGTAAGAGATCACTGCAGGTGAAACCAATGAAATATAGTGAAGGAAAGTTAGTTGCTAAAGAGGAGGAACGAAGAAAACGATGGACTGACCATTTCAAATCATGTGGTGATCAAATTGCAGCGCTTCACTACGCATCATCGTAGAACAGTTCATAGAAAGGCAGTCAACTGTATCTCTACCTCAACTTCATCGATTTTGAAAAGGCCTTCGACAGAGTTGACCGAGAAATAATTTAGAAAATGCTTCAACACTACGGTTTTAATAACACAAACCTTCATCAACCCCATTCAACAGCAGCTATATGGTGTGAGTCAATACTCCAAGTGTCGCTCAATGGAAAGCTCAGTGTTGCTTTTGAAGTCAAGACAGGTTCACAGGTAAGACAATGTTGCGGCCTACTATCACTGATGATCTTCCTGATTGTAGTGGACTGGACTGGGTGGTGCGGCAAACAGTGAGGAAAGAAAAGAGGGGCATACGCTATTTCACCGATGAAAAGACCTTCAAAGATCTGGATTTCGTAGGACTAAGGAAATCGAGTCTTTTTTGCTGAATTTGTCAGAATTACGATGACATTTATGTATTTACAGATGAATAATATGATGGTGAACGAAAAGACAACGAATAACTAATACAGCAGTGGGTTTTAGTTCATTGAGGTTTAATGAGGGGAGTAAGGTCTGAATATGATCTTTCTGAATGCCCAGTCCAGGTTGGATCAATCTTATTGCGACAGCCTTACCTATGTTGAGCAAACATTGGTGAGCTACATGTGGTATTGTTTTTGGAAAACGATGTTTGACATTGAAAGCTTTATTAGCATCTGTGTTCTCTGAGCTGGGTTGTTTAATCGATTAAACAAACCAGCTCAGAGAACACAATGCAACCAAGACCATCCACCTGAGCTACAAATATTCTCCATCATTTATCAGCATCTATGTAAATGCCCCTGTGTCTACTAGGTGCAGTAGGATGGAACTTTCTCTCACTTTCACTTTCGCATCCTAAACTATACCGGTAAATGCTCTTGTCTCTTGAGACGCACCTGCCTGGTCGTACGCCTTGTGCCACAGAAACAGGTGAATTAGTATATGTAAGTTGAATAGCTAAGATTGACTGGGCTATCTTTTAGTCTCGGAGTGGCAATCAGCCAGCTACTGAAAGACACGTAGTGGGGCTGTTGCTTACTGGTTTGGAGAGGTGACTATCAGTCTTCGGGTCACTGGTTCGAGCCCCGCTCCACCTCCTGAGGTTTGGGCAACCAGGTAGTATCACTAGCCCCCATACCATGGCTGAGGTTCATTGCCTACTGCACGGAACGTGGCTGGGCATGTTTCGTTTCGAAAGTTATGCAAAGACGATCTACATTAAAAGTTCTATTGACTACAGTAGCTAGGCATTGTGACACAATGTTTCCCTCTCTTCTTTATTTCTGTGATTTTACCTTCTTAAGCTAGAATCAAATTAGTTAAATACACTGAAAGTTTCCACCCCTCACACTTGTGCATCAGGTTGTTAGATTTTGACAGTTGATTTTCAACCAGTTTGTCGCGGTCTTAAATCCCATCCCATCTACCGTCGTCTGGACAGTTAGACAATAGATACGACTCATTGCCTACTGCGCCATTGTGCACAAGGTTGTTGAGCACAATTCGATTTCGATCAGATTGTTATCAGCTCTCAATAACTTTTTATTTGTTATTGTACGATAGTCCCCTATGAAATGGCTTATGGTTAATTCTTCAAAATGTTAGACTATTAATTGTCGATTCAGAAGTAAACACCACCTGTGTTGATGCTGTATGACATGCTGAAGATTCTGTACAGTATCCTTGAAATGTATTTTAGAATAAAACCATGACTGTTGTTATCATTATTAGCAGTATTAATGACAAGGTGTTTTCATTGAAAACAAAATATTGCTGTAACAAAGTCGCCAAGAGATTTATCCTAATAACTTAGTGCAATCCAACCTTGCCCATTCCTGCGTATTAGGTTATAAGCCACACTAGTATAAACATGGTGGTGCTGGGGGGGGGGGGTGGGGGGGGTGCGAAACCTGAACCCATTGCTTAAAAGTCAAGTTCCTAGGCTAGCGAGCCTCACCTTAACTTTGAGCGCATCTCCTCAGTTTCGGGTAACATGGTAATCTCACACATCATATAGATGTGCATATCAGAACTATCTAAAGCGATACTATCTCAGAGTCATTGACGAAGCCGATTTAAAAGAGATAGGAAATACAGCTTTGAATATAAACAAATATTTCAATTATTTTCACTAATCTAAACGACTAGGTAATTTCTTTTAGTATGCTACAAACGGATGTCAGTAATGTATCTCTAGTGTTGAAATGTAGGTGCAGTTGCTTGCCAGATTACTATCAAAGCAGTACCGGCTTTTGTGAATTTAACGGAGACCCACTTTTAAGGTGATGCTATGGATATGTTGATATAATAATCGAGAAATGTGCTCATATAGGGTTCAATCAGGCAAGTCCAGTGCATAAGCAATGAGAGCATTCATCGTAGACTGACATCAGTTGGAGGAACAAAGGAAACCTGGGAGCACTGGACAACTGTTTCGTCCTAGTATGGGACTCCTCAGCAGTGCACACACACGACCCCACCCAGCCAGGGATGGAACCCGCCACCTTCAGGTTCTGCGGCCAGAGCGTTACCATTGAGCCACTGAGTCAGAATCCAATGCTCCATATTTCCAATTTCTGTTAGCTCACGATATAGTGCAGCTGCCACCCAATGTCATCGTTGAGTAACTGTCCTCACCACCATCAGGCTTTGACTCCACCGGTCGAAGTATAACTTTTTTTGGGATATCCTTATATTTAATCACACCAGCAATCAGTATGGCATTGGTGTACGGTCTTCTAATTATCATTCTTTTGCGAATATTTGAATGTATGCTTACTGAGTCATGGACAAGTCTTCGCATTCTTCTTCTTCTTCTTAAAGTTGTTCGTCACTGGAACAAATTATTGTTTACCAAGTAACCGGTTTGGATCACTAGCAATTAGAAAAGGGAACTGTGTATGATGATGATCTGCGTTTATACACACTTGTACTTTTACTCTATTTATGATGTAGCTTACAATGTAAAAATGTGCCATTTTGCTAGTCTAAAGCATATCTCATAGGAATGTATACAGACTAGATACTTTCCGGAATATTTGAACCACTATGTAGTGTACTATTACACCAAAAACATACTGGTTTAACCCTCAACGAAATACGTTCCTGCTGAACAACCTGAGTAGTTAGAAACCACTCACTTTGCATCTGCAGATATCAGCTTCGGTTGTCATGAGGACTCTCACCTGGATGTCAGTGTTTGCCTACATAGTTCATACAAGTAGTCACAACCTTCATAAACTCATGTCAGGTTTAGTTTGAGTGTCGTTGACTTTTCCAAGCTTAAACCTACTTTGGCTAAAATCGTGCGACGGGGTCGATGGTGGCAGGAAATGTGTGACACATTTCTCAGACAACTAAGTCGACGAAGGTTAGTAACCTGGTTAATTGACTTATCTCCTTTACTAGAGACTTTAGGAACGTAATTATCTTTCTGGTCCCTCAGGTATGTGAATAGTCTTAAGTCAACAGTTGTTGAGTTCGTGAAACCCTCCTATACTCTTCGTTTTGATAGCTATGTTTCACAACCACAAAGTAGGACAGAGCGAACTGCTGAGATACCAAAATTGACCCATATCTAGCTATCTAATAGATCTGAAGCACCACAAATGGTATAAGTTGGGAAAAAGGCCTTCGATTTCCTCGGTTCTGTGTGAAGGTTGCGACTCACTGTTTGACGAGACATTGATACAGATTAGCCATGAAGCAACAATATGCATTTAGATGTTGAGAAATGTATCCTAACATTTCTCATATTGTCCCTCTGCTTGTTCAGAATATTTAGCATCCTTTTAGCATTCTCATCTTAAACTGAACTGTGAACTGTGTATTTTAATTCAGCTGGGTCGCTTGCAAGGAGATCAATCCTTGTAAAACTTCACTTATGAGCACAACTACGAAAGATGTTCCGAATACTTCGGTTATATTAATATAATCTACTGATTGACTTATGACTTTCAACTAATACTCTTCTATCGTTAACTGTGATTGTGGTGTCAACAAATTCATATATTTTGATGTGATTTTTTGGATGGTTTCCACTAGAGAATCCCGTAGCATAACAGAAAGGTGGAAATAAACTATTTCATTGCAAGAAATGCTTAGTTATTTAACCAAAAATTTAATTTCTTGGGAAATAATTATTTCTGTAGTCTTAGTCAATGGTTTGCCTTTTCGTATTCTGTTCATCCAATGACTCCTTTTTTGCACAAAGTTTCTTGTTTTCCTCAAGATTGTTTCCTTTGTAGTAGTCATAGCACCATCATCCTATGACAAACATTTTGAAGATAAAGGTTAGTGAGAATATTCAAGCTCTGGGTGTCAAATAGTATTTACATCTGTTTCATTGTGACCAATTTTCACCCACGTCACTAGCAGTCCTTAACCGCTGATTCTTGTCATTTTGGGGACTCCAGCCAATTTTCAACCATTGGTATCTTCGTAGCATTGCTCGCGTTCTGTGGAATCACCGTGTGAGCAATGTTGAGGTCAGATGAAGGGTGCTAGGCAAGACAGGCAAGTCGATTGATGAGGTTGTGAGTCTCAGTCGATTGAGATGTCTCGATTATGTACTAAGCATACCGAGCCACCGCTTACCTTGAGGTACAACGCTAGGGGAGATTGACTTAGGTTGTAAGAGGGTTCAGGCTGGCCTGACCAAGACGTGGCACCAGTCGATAAAGTCCCTGACCATTGGCCGGAGGTGTGTGGGAAAATGCAGACTACCTGGCTGGGGTTCTGTAGGAACCAGTCGTTGAGGATTGTTGGTCGTATGGTTGAAAATATGTGACAATGTTGCAGATGTATTCACTCCTTAAATGTTGAGTCAACCTTCATCTTCATATCGTTTGTTCTCTCTCACACAACTTCGTCTACTTAGATATCACTCTTGTTCTATTCCACTGTTCTTTCTGTACTACTGTGAAGTGTGGTAACTTGAGCCTGTGGACTTGTGTACAAGGTTCTACGTTGATTCTACCTGTCTGTCATCCTGTCACACTTAAATAATCATTGTAATACTAGGCAGTCAGTCTATAGTATAATGTAATGTAGTGAGTGGGAAAGTGAGTACACTCCTATTTTCCGCTTATTATAAGTATTAATCATAGCATTAGGTGTAATAATGTAACCCATACGTCGCTGGTTCGAATCCTGTCGCAGCCCAGACTTTTATTTCACCTTCAATAATCACCCAGTAAGAGTAATAATAATAGGTAAACCTTAGTACATCAGGCAAGTTTAGTGTTCGGCATTGAAAAAAACATCTGAATAGCAGTCATATTCGAAGATTATTGTTTCAAATGTGGCCCTGACCTAATCTCTGTTTTCTCACACAACCCGACTACCGTTTGACTTGATTGAGACACTCTTTTGTTGAGTTATTACTCTGTCCTATTGAATGTTACCAAAAGTAAGCGGAAACAATAATCTTGTTTTGACTCGATTTCTGCTATATACTGTAAGATATCTGCAGTTGATGTGTATTTCATACTCAAAGACTTCTTTCTCTGTTAATGCTTTACTTACATTTAGATTGATCGACTTTCTGCAGAAATAAGTGTAGGCGATGCTGGAAGCTGAAAAATATGATCGAACAACCTTAGTATCTGTTGATCTTATCGATGATGGGAGTAGATCACGTGTCCATCTGGTATGTGTACATTCTGCAATGAATGTGATGTATTCTGTTTGATTTCATTTTATAAGACTTTCTAATATGTTAAAACAATATGTCCCTCTTAACACTCACTTTCTAGCCTCATTTGAGTAATTCTACAGATAAACTAACGAATATACTCACAAAAGTTCATCTCAAACCCTTCGAATTATTGATATTTCAAGTAGCTATGGAGTCTAGTGGTTATTAGGACATATCCTTTCATCGTCGTCATCATTCATATCAACACAGAACCAAGGATTACTGCTTAACGATCCCCTTCGTCACAGCTCATCACACATCAAGTAACAAGGCAATAAAATGTGAGATGAAAAAAGGAAGAAAAATCAGTCAAAGGAGGAGGGAGGTATGAGAAAATGCTAAATTCATTATAGTCATTTAGATCGAAATAATGTATGAATACATCTACACCACTGTCATCGATTCTTAAGCATATTGCCTAAAGTTTCCAACGATTGGTTTACTGTTGTCACGTTGTCGCTATTTAACTTCTACTTCGGCGTCTTCTACTGAAGCATATAAATTAATTTTAAAGTGATTTTACTCTATCTCTTCTCGATTTTTATTATTTCATCTAAAAAGAAGCCAAATGTTCCCTACATGAAACAAAGAAATTCATTATCTTATAGATTGGAATTGGGAATTGTTTTGCACACCCATAGTTTCGTACATAGGCATCTGTTACAAATAGTATCTCACCGTGTGTAGAATAAGAACTTCCAACTTTTCACGCAGAAGTCTGCTCTGAGCTTCTTCATAAAAATAGTCAAGATCTGTCATTAGTATTATTATTATTTGTGCTATGGGTTCCTAGTAGAACATAGGGCTTCAGTAGCAAGTCACCATTTCACTCTCTTCTCTTCAGTCCCCTTAATCTGGCTCCACAACTGCCTACAAGCTTTCATTTCTTCCTCATACCATCTCCTCCATGTCACCCTCGAACACCCAACTCGACATTTCCCATTTTAGTTCCACTCGACAGCCTAGCCTGGCTTGACGCGTGATGTCCCCAAATGGTCTTCTCAGTGTATACCGGATCCATTTTCACTTCTGCATATTTGCTTGATGATGGATTCTTGGTTGGTTGATTGGTTCGTTGCTGGAGTGAGTTCTTTGTGGCTTATTCTTTCTGGCCATCTTCAGTATCAACTGAGCGTAGGCGGCAGCTGTTGGTGTGATGTATGTGGGCAGTTTGTTGGAAATGGTTTTCGTAATGCTCCAAGTCTCCCAACCACTACATAGAAGCAAGCACTCACTTGACTGACATTAGTAGTATTGAAAATCCGGATGTTGTTCAGTCTTTATGCTGAGTGGAGTAGATTTCAAAATTGATTTCATATTGATGAAGGAAGGCCTGTCTTGTTGTCTTTCCGATGCTGGCTTTGACGTCCTCATCTGTACCTGTCTGTGCTGCCTGTAGTTGAGACTATGCTGCCTGCGAGGTAGGTAAGTAGGTAGGTGAAAGAGGCAACTTCGTTTAGATTTCTCTCATTGATTGTGATTTGTGCTTGTTGTTTTTTGGGTATCTTCATCACTTCTATCTTGTCTACGTTCACATGAAGGAATTCCCGTCTTGGCTGTCCTGCCCTGCCTCTTTTGCTTACTTGTTAGTTTTCGCCTGTAGATCTTTCAGTTTGTACGGCTTAAGACATTGGACACAAATCATCAGTGAAATCTAAGTCATCTAGGATCTTTTCATCGGTCAAGCGATACACTGACACACTATTATTTGTTAAAAAGTCTTACATATTTTCTCTAGATTTTGTCTTTAACTTGGTTGTCTTTCGTTATCTATTCGTACAAACATAAATTGAACTGAATACAATTTTTCTCGCCTTAGATGTCTTCCGATATTAAAGATATGCATGGTTCGTCCACAGCATCACCTGTTGAAGTTTCGACACGTTCCATACCGGTTGGATCTTTGCCTGCTGGAACATCACTTGAACCAATTCTACAAGGTCAAGAGTTATTTGTTAGCTCAGCAGCGACTTGTTCTCCAGGTAAATTCCTTTTCTTTTTGTTTCATTTTTAAAACTTTGTATTCTATTTGTTTTCAATTTTTTTCCATGTATTGCTTTGATATATATATATATATATATATATATATATATATATATATATATATATATATATGAATAAATTAATTTACCTTTTTTTGTTGACAAATAACTCATTATTATCTTTTCAACGTATAGCATTAACATGTACACTTAAGCGTTGAATTGAAATTACTATTATGTAATGATCGATTGTTTGCACTGTGATCTAATGTGGTGCTGGTTGATCAACTGATAACTGGTCTGTAAGCTAAATAGGGTTGCTTACAACTCTGACATACACACACACATATACAGTCCGGTGGTGGCAGTGAGTCAATCACCTAAACGGGTGTTGAGGAGACAAAATAGGTTATTATTGTTACATTTAATCGTGTATTGATGCAAACAACACTCATATGATACAGTGTATGTAAAGTCAATTCAAGCATGAGCTTTTGTGAAGCCATTGGCTTTTGAGATAGTCATTCACTACTAGGCAATGAAGTTACAGATTACACGGTTGACGTTTCTCATACAGCTGAGTAGTTTTTTTTTCATCTGCCACTCAACTGTAGTGTCAACAAGGTTTTCGTTGGAAACCACTCGACCGAGATCTTAAGATCTGATCTCTGTCACAAAAGTATCATAAATTAGCGAATGATACTACTATGGAACAATATGAATAGTTAGTAAGTAGTTAGGCTGATCTGTTGATTTCGCCAGTCAGCCATATCAGACAGACATTCTACTCATCTGGAACTAGCGTTATATCCGGACAAATTCAAGTCATACAACCGAATTACTTAGGATCACCTGAGTCTGACAAGGTGACTTACAAGAATAGATATGCCTAAAATAGTATGATCCAATGTGCAGTTGATTTACAAATTGAATGGTTTTAAACGGAAACGCTGTTGACACCGCAGTGGACTGGTAGTTGAAAAAAGCTACTCAGCTATGAGAAATATCAGCGCAGATCTTATTCAGAGTTGTATGTGCTGGTTCATGCAAGTCAGCTAGCCAGATTCCGGGTATAACTGAGTGCAAAATTTGGTGTACATTTTTATGCTCAATTAAGACTTTTCGTTCTTTGCATATTAAAAGGCATATCATACTATACATACTGTATTATTCTTCCTAATTAAGGTTGCATGACTGTAAGCAAACTGGTTTTAAGTATTTTGTAGCCTACTTGGTGGCTAGCAATAAAATCCAGGACTGACTGACAAAACGTAGAACCTCGCACTGAAGTACATCGGCTCAAATTACCACACTTCACAGTAGCATGCAAAGAGCAGGTGGATATTATTATTTTTTTCCCTTGGGTTCCTAGTGGAACATAGGACTTCAGTAGCACGTCGTCATTCCACTCTGGCTCCACCACTGCCCAGAAACCTTCATTTCTTCTTCACACCATCTCCTCCATGTCATCCTTGGACTCTCATCTCGTCTCCCCTTTTGATTCCACCCGACTGCTTGCAATGTCCCCAAACGGTCTTCTCAGTGTATGCCCAATCTATCTCCACTTTCTTCTGCATATTTGTTGGGCGATAGGTTCTTGTTTCGTTGGTTCGTTCCCAGACTCAGTCTTTAACCATTGGTTTCTTTCGTCTTAGGGACCTTAACCAATCCATCTACACCTCTCCACATGACTCAGACCGAACGTCAGTGACTTCATAGACTGCTACGAGGTCTTGGTCTAGTCAACCTGAACTCTCTTCTGACCCAATGCAACTTCAACTAGCATGGTACGGAGAGGTGGGCGCTGGCTGGGTTGGGCATGCGCAGAACATATGCAGTCCATCTCTGCCGATGAAGGTTCATAGCCTCGTCAACCGACTTACGTAGTACCACTCACCTGACCTCAACATTGATCACGCGTTTTGTCCTGCACTGCACCACAGTTAGTGTTGTTGTCCCCATTAAGACTCGATTCCCGTACCCATCGCTTCAAACAACAAGCAAGCATCAAGAAATTAATGACACTTAAGTTGTCTAGTTATCATAACGAAGTGGATGTTCAATTTTTGTCAATACATCAGTTGTGTAAACTGTTCTTTTATTGATCACGTCTGGCGTTGATCATTCTCTCTTGAAATAGTATTTGCTATTGAAATCCCAGGGCAAATGTAGTTATGATAGTTTACTGTATTTTTTGGTTCGAGATCTGTTGTATGTGTATGAATTCATGAAGCATTTTATAATGTCTATAATGTGTTTATAGTGTGTCTAAATTATCTGTATGAGGAAGTTACAAAATCCAGTTCATAAATCAAAACAGTTTATTCCCTCTGTAAACTTCGACAGAACAATAAAAACAAGTAAATTGTCTGAACTGTGTAATATATTTGCACAATACATTCCAAGTATTCAGATCACACACGTGCTTGTCATACATATTTATATGATACTTTTGTAAGAGATAAGGGGTGAGAATATGAAAAGAGGTCAAGTAGTAAGGCTCCATTAAAGGTCAAATAATAACAATGAAAGTCAATATAGCGAAAATAATAGTACATCCTAGTTGAATTCACCAAGGCAGATTTTATATGATAAGAAATTATCTTCGAACTTTCTAATAGTTCAGGCCTCGACAAATTTAAGGATTCATCCCCGACACGTTTTGTGCACAGATTTAAAGGAAGTAGTAACGTCATTTCTGTGACCTGTCTCAACGATATGCTTCATTTAGTGTTATTGCTTGTATTACACGGTCGTTGATTGGACCGAATTGATCAGTCTCTCTTGGTATATGGGCTCCTATGCGGATGCCTAGATATTGCCTGTATTTTTAACTATGTATAGTAATGATGGGCAGTGGCTAGCAGTGTCGTTTGAGGCGATCGCTCCCGAGTCCGAGTCCCGGTGGGAACAACATTACTCACTGGGAAGCGGGTACATCCAGCTGACGAATCCTAAATAGGACGAAATGTGCATCCTGGATTCCACTGCTAGCCACTGCACATCATTACCATAGATATGTTTCATATTTATACTGGGTGATGATTTGAAGGTGAAGTGAAAATTTGGACCGCAGTCGGATTCGAACCAGCGACCACCGGGTTTCCGGCCTGATGCTCTACCAACTGAGGTCTAGTTACGACGTCCGACTACTGACCAGATTTTTATTTCACTTCACTTATCAAGGGGTTTTGCTTGAATCAGAGGTGGAGCATCACATTGTTTATCATTTTGACTATCTGAGACAGTCATGATTTGGCAGACTTGTATTGATACTGGGTGATGATTGGAGGTGAGAAGGGAATTCGGACAGCAGCCGGATTCTAACCAGTGACCCCTTGTCTAATTTGATTATATTTGGATGGGAAGTCCTAACTAGGCAGTCAGTGTGAATGTGATCAAGCGGTAGCAACTCGTCGCGAATTCACATGGTAGTCGGACAAAACCCATGGTGATTATTGAAGAGAAATAAAAATCTGGTCAGCAGTCGGACCATTTGCTTGCAATAGGGAATGTCTAGTGATGCTTACTAGTTGACTAAGCATTTTAAAAAAAAATATGCGATGTTACATATTTCTCTTAAGTATTATGTTAAATTAATTTGTGGAGACCTTAACAGAACATATTTTTCGCACGTAACACTCACTGTCCATCACAGAATGGGTTAATTGTTATTTTTACCCGAGGATGTAATCTTTACATTATGTTTTAAACTGTATTGTGTATGCGACCTGTTCGAAAGCTTCATTCGTTCAAGCATAGCCTATATAGACTGAGGAGTGCTTCCAACTTTGGGTTCCATGTGTACGTTAACCCCAATGATTCTACGTTACTCATTGAATAACTCGAAGAGAATTCGATTTACGTATAGCTGAACTTAAAAGGCTGTTACTGTTATTGGCACACAAATAACTTTCTGTATCTGTCAAGCGAATATGACAGTTAACCATAATCAGTATTCAGTCACAAATTCTAAACAACTAAAGCAAACTTAGGGCAAATAAACAGTTTATAAGATATTGAAAAACGATTTTTTTCCCCCTAGCATTGAGGTCATTCTGAAACGGATAAACGACCTCATTTAATTAAAACTTAAAGTTCATGGCTATACGTTTGACCATCAGACTTATGAGTTCAAAAACACAAAGTCGTTCAGTGAAGAAAATTTTCTTTCTGATGAGTCATTTTCAGCAGCTGTACAATCCTATTTATAAAAATAACAACCAGACAATGTAGTCTATTATTGGCTAAAATAGGTCAACATCAGGTCATCAAAACGGAGTATTCTAGGTTGAAAGGGATTGGGTAATCCAGAGTGTATGAGGAAAATAAAAATACGTGTTGACTATAGGTCAGAAATAAATAGGTCAAAAAATATGTAATTATGTTAATGATGGATGGTGGCTAGCAGTGGAATCCAGGATGCGCATTTTGTCCTATTTGGGATTCGTCAGCTGGATGTACCTGCGTCCCAGTGAGTGTTGTTCCCACTGGAATTCGGACTCGAGAGCGATCGCTTCAAACGCCAGCGCGCTATCCAATACACCACCGAGTCACGATAGCCACTTCCTGTGCGACGGGTATAGTTTTAGTATAAATGTTTTTATATGATACCGTCGTTGATTGGACCGAATTGATCGGTCTCCGTTAGCCTATGGGCTGCTGTGCGGATGCCTCGATATTGTCAGCATTATAATTATGTTAACGATGGATGGTGGCTAGCAGTGGAATCCAGGATGCGCATTTTGTCCTGCTTGGGACTCGTCAGCTGGATGTACCTTCGGTACCGAAGGTATCATAAAAAAACAATTATACTAAAAACTATACCCGTCACATAAGAAGTGGCTGTCATGGCTCGGTGGTATAGTGGATAGCGCGCTGGCGTTTGGAGCAATCGCTCCCGAGCCCAAATCCCGGAGGGAACAGCATCACTCACTGGGAAGCAGGTACATCCAGCTAACGAATCCCGAGTAGGACAAAATGAGCATCCTGGATTCCACTGCTAGCCACGATCCATCGTTAACATAATTATAACGCAGGCAATATCGAGGCATCCGCACAGGAGCCGACATGCTAATAGAAACTGGTCAATTCGGTCCAATCAACGACGGTATCATACAAAAACAATTATACTGATGTGTAATTATTGTTAAAATTATTAATCTGAGAATTTTACTGAGAGATTCGAGCTAACATGTTAAAATGTGAGGAAGTTAACCAAAAAGTAATGACAGTCAGTAAGTTTAGAGTAAAATGACTATTGAACCAATGAAGAAACTCAAGAAAGGATTATAACCGCTGCAAAATAAGAGAATGGATGTAACTCTACTGTGTACAGAGCTTAGGCGTTAACCGTGATGAATCCGTCCTTTTTTCGAGCCGTTTGGTTTGACTTTGTATAGGATTTTGAGAAAAGATTGTGGGGAAGCGACGTTGACCAAATGATCCTCGATGAAACTGTTACTTGGTGTACATTCTCCTTTGGATAACCACTCAGGAACTGCGTTTGGAGAGATTGAGCTCTGTGCGGCCTTCATCAGCAGCTTCACAAGAGCAGGTAAACTGATAGACACATATGGATGTGGCCCGAAGTGACAGTTTGTCCTTCACACTACCTTGAGTCAACTGCCGCAAGAGAAGATAATTCGCAGTTGGGTGACATAGACTGTTTTTCTGTATTCCTTGGAGAAACGATCCCTCAGTATTTCTTCTGTATTGCCCCCCTCTGAATTCGACATGCATGAATAAGGTCTTTTGAGGAACAGTAAGAACTTGTTCTTGTCCTGGTTTTGGCTTGATGCATTTTTCGACGAACCTTGAGGGATAGCCATTTTAAAGAATTATTTTCTGAAGGTATTCCAGTTCATCGTCTAATATGTCATTTGTGCGTATTCACCCTGATTATGGTGGACGGCGAATGAATAATGTTCCTTTCTTTTTTTGGTCAGTGCTACCCAACTTTGGAAATAAGAGTATTGTCCATTCCATGTTGACTTCCTATAGATTGAATAAATGTTATTGGAGTTTGTGGCTGGTTGGTTTAGGCAGCTAACCATTGTGTCACACAGCTTTGAGCGCCACTCAACTTACTGAGGCTTACACAGCCACTTAGTATTATTAACCCTCGTACAATAAGTGAGGCTCATTGCTGTGCATACTTCAACAGCTACATACGCTCGATACTGAAGACCAGATGGCCAGAAGAAATAAGCAACAAGGAACTCTGGCTGGCAACCAACCAACCAAGAACTCCTCGCCCAACGAATATGCAGAAGAAATTGGAGATGGATCGGATATACACTGAGAAAACAGTTTAGGGACATCACGTGCCAAGCCAGGCCATCGAGTGAAACCCAAATGGGAAACGACGAGTTGGGCGTCCAAGGGTGAAATAGAGGACGTGTGAAGAAGGAATGAAAGCTTCTGGGCAGTGGTGGAGCCAGAATAGAGTGGAATGGCGACGTGCTACTGAAGCCCTATGTTCCATCTGGAACCCAAGGTACAAGTAATAATAAAAAAATTGCTATATGGTAGAACGTTAAGATGTTCCACCTCTGAGCAGCGGCAAATAATGAAAATCGACGCTTTCCTCTATATAAATGGCTAGTTCACTTTCCAGGTTTTCCTGTCGAAATCCTTCAGTAATTTTACAACCTTTAAGTTAATGTATAATACAAGTTAGTTTACCGTTACTACTGTTAATGTAGTGAATGGCTTAAACGCAGCCGACTGGTTTAATTAACAAATGCACTACGTATTTTACAGCGGATACTTATCCTGTGTGTCAACTGAAGTGACAGGTCTTCATATTTGAATAAATTCTCATTAACTGTTCAACGCGTGTGATTTTGGTTCACATTATTGCATTCTTATTGCTGATACTACTGTATCCTATTCAATGAGTAGTTTATATACACTTCTCTTGAATTAAGCTGCTATGATTGCTTTCGCTGTATAAACTGTGGCCTGAATAGCTCAGTGGTGATGTCTCGGATTGGGTCACGCAGGATATCATTTGTTTCTAGGTTGCTGGTACGCTTTGCTACCGAGTGTCAAAAAGCTGGAAACCTAGGTGGAGTGGAGTAAGGCTTCCTACCGATTGTCTCCATCTAACTACCATTTACTGTGCATAAATTTCCTGAATGCGGCCAATCTACCCTATTAGAATTGATTTTCTTGTCGGAGAGACAGACTGCAGATAATTTTACTGATATCCTTTTCCTGTTTTTTGACAGTTCATATCAATCCTTTTTTCAATGCAAATCATTTTCAAGAAGGATCAAAATTCACTGTACAAAGTTGTAATTCACCTAGTCATCAGGCAATACAACTTAAAATGGAAGCATGTTGTCCATGTAGATTGATAAGTTCTGAACTTCAGTCTTTTCAACATAAAAATTATCATCATGAAGTAGTACAAGCCTCATGTAAAACGCCAGTAACCGAGACCCCGGTGAAGACAACCAATGTAAGTATCTTATTTTTACTGCTAGTCGTCATTATTATACTGTTAAAATTTGTTGGGTTTTAGTTTAACCCTTTTGATGTTGTTCTTTTGGAGTGTTTAACAACTTATTCAATGATTCTAACTCAACTGGACGCTTGGATGTGTGTATGCTTCCGCTCAGCCTAAGTGAAGCGGATTGAAGGTTGACTGAAGAATCCATTGATTGTGACATTCAAGTGATTAAGCCATTGAGTTTAGTTAAATAACAATATTCCTGTTTATTATCATCGAGTGTTTCTTGTCAGTTGCGGACTGCGGTCTGGTCATTAAGCTAACTGACAGTATGTGATACTAAGTATTTGGCGTTTATCACCGGAGAATTGTAGGTCTGGGTTTATAATTAATAACAATTACCAGCAGGTTATGTTTTATTTCTTTTGTAGACCTGTTCCGTTTCAGGTTTAAACGTCTGTCGGTATCATCTATGTAGTTAGTCGGCAACTTTGTCACCGAACTATTCCGTGAGTTTCAACCTGAACTGGCTTCGGATATTTTATGAACAAACGCATAATCCCATTTAGGGACTTCCCATTGGTCGCATCCAAATATATAACAGTGAGTTCGAGTCTCACTGAGGACAGGTACATGCAGCTGGCTGACGAGTCTCAAATAGGACGAAACGCGCATCGTGGATTTCACCTCTAGTCACCAAGTAAACTTATAACACAACAATGAAATTCTCAAGTTTAAAGAAATGAAGTTTCAGTAAAATCACTATTGAATCTTGAAGTGACCGGGTGAATAATAATAATAATAATAATAATAATAATAATAATAATAATGCAATGAGACACTTGTGCTGGATACGAATAGCGACTGCTCTCGCTCAGAACTTCATACTTCACTCTGCCACGGAAATGACAAGGCAAAGATTGGCCTGTGACTGTAAGAAAGACGGTTTATTCAACAAAAAAACATTTATATGCAGTTCTCATGAGCATATAAAGCCACTAATTCAGAAGTTGGATGTCTATTCTGATTGGTCAGCTGTAGAACAAAGTTGTCCAATAAGGTTTTTCCTGACTGCACAGCAACATGAAACAAAATTTGATACCCAAAATATCTCCCTTACCGACTGATGAATCAAAATATTGATTTCTATTTAGATCGCTTCCTATCAAAACTGAACATTCTTTTATTATTCTACACCAAATCGCATGTTCTATTTGTATTCATATAGTTAGATGCTGTTTATCTTTTCACCATATTCCAATCTTGTCATCGATTACAATTCAGTTGTTTACCTCTTTGAAAACCTATTCCAGTTGCAATATACTGATTGTTAACTAACTAGCTAACCAGTTTAAGTCATGTGATCTCTTTTGGGTGCATTCCATATTAATTAGCTATTCAAGGTTTATAGTCGCTTAGGCGTACTATGTTCAAGTGTATGCACCTTAGAACATCAATCACAAGTAATTTTATAATTTTAATGGTTGAAGGAGTGACTACCATGACTTAGTGGTCTAATAAATGATGATTTGGCATTTGGACCAATTGGTCCTGAGCTCGAGTCCCAACGAGAACAGTATCACTCACTATGACAGATGGGCACGTCCAGCTGACGAGTCCAAAGGAGATGAAATGTGCGTCGTGACTTCCACTGCTACCATCACTAATAATTTTGTAATAGTTGTCTCCTGTTCACCTAACTACCACAAAAATCTGCATAATTCGATAATGACTATGTCATCGTACATGTCTGTAACCCTACCATTATCTGTTTTAGATCTGACACTATGTGAATCAAACCAGACATGTATCTATCTATCTTATGTGATATATGCGTTAAAGGAATTCACTGTGGACACTTTAGTTTTGCATAATTATAATTTAGTTAACATAACTAAAGAAATATACGAGATCTGGTTATCTGTGTATGTTTGTATTAAGTGTAATGGAGTTACACATATTTTTTTCACTCAAAATGGCAGGTGTAAGAGGAGTGTTAGCATTAAACTATGTGATTTTCACTTGATCCAGGCACGTTGTGTGCACTATTATTATTTGTTCATCACTAGCCTACACAATTTGTGATTTATATGGCTATTTTTTCTAGTTGTTAGGTTCAAATTCCATTGCTAACACGTACGCCTTTGATACATGTTAAGCGCTTATAGAGAGTTGTCTGAATTGCCGACAACTAGTGGTGGCCGCCAGGAATGTCTACTGTCACCATTCCTATTTAACTTTGTTATAGATGTACTAATGGACGTAACCTTAGTTACATATGACTTCATTGGGATTGGAGTATACAGACGATATCGTCCTGCTAGGTGAACACGCCAGCGTAACACAAGGTCTTTTGGACACGTTAAGCAGAAATCTGAGCATGCTTGGGATACACTTCGCACCTATCAAGTGTAAGATGATGCTCCAGGACTAGTCTGCTGTAAGTACTCTTAGTTTAATGATAGAGAGTGAAGTGGTGGAATGTGTCGACTACTTCACTTTAGGAGTTTCAACAGCCCAATGAACAGGCTAGTTGGTGATGTAATCTCAACTCGGATACATAAGGTTTGTTCGGCTTTTCATTGATCTGGTTTGTATCAGTCGTCAGATTGGTATTCCTTATTCATACTGTATCTAATCTTCGGTTTCTCACATTGTTTTTCAACCTTATCTTTTTTTTTTTAAATGAATAAATATTTACAAATTGGATGGCTTATTCGCCTTCATTTTTCTCTTTCAGTTACAGAATCATTCTCCAAGTGTTCGTGGCCAACCAGACAATCATACAAATAATAAAGATTCTATTACATCAAGATCAAATTGGGCTCGTGGTATATTTGAGCGTTTGAGAGCTGCATCGCTAACATCTTCAACTATTGAGTCGAAAGCATCTCATTGTCCATATGCTACTATCAGTTATAATGATTCTGCTTTTAGATACAAGGACTATCATCATCATCATCAGCAACATGATATAATGAATGTAACACCGGATATTATTGATCCACGACGTTTACCTAAAGCTCATGGACCTGTGAGTAATTGTTTGGAATTCTCTAAACGACCTTTACAAAAATCCAACTATCATACAAATTATATCTCTAAGCCTATCCCACTATCTTCAACGCATACTGATTTGATTTCGACCAGTTTATCATCATCTTTACAGTCATCTACTAATGTAAATAAACGTAGAAGACGAGTTCGATGGGTAGGTGATTAGTTCCTCTATTTTTGTCTGTCTATTTGTTTGTTTGTTTTTGATTGTCTAATGATAGATATGTTCAAATGGAGTTGTTTTTCTTGGGAAACATTGGCAAACATCTCAGTTTGAATATCCTCAATCTAAGCTACAAATATAGTTTAATTGGTCAACCAGGCATGCATATCTTTCTGTGGATGTGTTATTTTCCTTTCAGAGAATTGAAGTTGCCAGTTTAGGCCACTTGGAAAGCTGGTATCACAAAGGAGATAGTATATTTTCTTCGCCCTGCTGGTAGCTTAAACTTTAATATTTCTTTGATGTAACCCACACTTCTGTGGCATTCTCTCTCTGTAGTGTATTTGCTTTAACTGTTACCCTGTATGTTCATAGGAAAGGTGTCAGTTGATATTACTTTTTAAACCTTCATGTATCATTCTGTCTAATTAGACACATCAAAATATCATTGATATAAAAGTGCCTCAGTCGTCAAACTAGTCATTCATCTTGACAAAACAGTGTGAATGAATCGAACCAAAGCGTTAAGCCTATTTTACAGAACTAAAATCAATTTAAGGCTAAATAGGAGACATCAAAAAGCGAGTGATATAGTGTTTAGGGAAATAAGGTGAAACTAGGAAAGAAGTATTTGACAGTTGCTTCAACACTACCGTTTTAGTACCACAAACCTTTATCAACCTCATTCAACAGCAGTTACATGCCAAGTAACTCACCATGGAAAGCTCAATGATGCCTTTGAAATGAAGATAGGAGTAAAACAATGTTGCCTACTATTACCGATGACCTTCCTAATTATGGTCGACTGGACTGTATCATACAACAAGCTGTGAGGAGAGAGAAGATGGGTCGATGATTTGCACCTAATTACTGATGTCGCACAAATTCGAAGATCTACAGGTGAAAACTAACAAGTTAACAAAAGAGGCATGTCGGCGAAGACCGGAATTCCTTCACATGAGTGTAGATAAGACAGAGGTGATGAAGATACCCAAACAATAACAACAACAAGCATTAATCACCATCAGTGGGAGATATCGAAACGAAGTTATCTCTTCCACCTACCTACCTCGAAAACACCATCTTCTAAATACAGGCAGCGGCACAAGTACAGATGAGAACGTCAAAGCCAGGATCACAAAGACAACAAGACAGGTATTCCTTCATCAATCTGAAATCAGTGTGGAGATCTACTCCACTCCACCTCACTGCACTCCACTCAATATAAAGACTGAACAACATCCGGATTTTCAACACTACTAATGTCAGTCAAGTCAGTGCTTGCTTCTATGTGATGATTGAGAGACTTGGCGCATTACGAAAGCATTTCCAACAAACTGCCCACATACATCAACAACAGCTGCCATCTACGCTCACTGGATACTGAAGATGGAGATCAGATGGATGGCTAGAATAATAAGAATAAGCAAGGAGGAATTCTGGCTGGTTGGCTGACAATGAACCAACCATCCAACCAAGAACCTATCGCCTAATAAATATGGAGAAGAAGAGAGTGGAGATGGACTGTATTGGATTGGATTGGATTGGGCATACACTGAGAAGACGGTTCGGGGACGTCACGCGTCAGACCAGGCCAGGCCGTTCAGTGGAATTGGAAATGGGGAGCGACGAGTTGGGTGTCCGAGGCGAGGTTGACATGGGTGAGATGGTGTGAGGAAAAAGTGGAAGGTTATGGGCAGTTGTGGAGCCAGGTTAAGGGGATTGCAGAGATTGGAGTGAAATGGCGATGTGCTACTGAAGCCCTATGTTCCACTGGGATCCTAGGGGTCAAATAAATAAATAAATAAAAGGTCAGAAGTGGGAAGCTGTGAACCACTGAATTCCAACCAAGTGGCTCGTCTCAAAAGCTAAAGGTCGTAGGTTCGACTCCCACTGGGGTCGTGGGTGCGCACTGCTGATTAGTCCCATTCAGGGACGAAGTAATTATTCAATGCTCACAGGTTTTCAGTTATTCTTCAAATGATTTCAGGTTGTGATGAATACCACCTTGAAATCAATATATCCTCATGAACCTCCAAAATGAAAGTGTGACTGTTGACGAATCAAGTTCGCTGGTGCTTTTTGTCGTTTGGTTTCAATCTAATTCATTTTAGAGGTTTTTGGAGATTTCTTTATTGATTTCAGGTTGATATCCCTGATGGACTGACATTAATGGGAACGTGGGAGCACTGGAGTGCAGCTGTTTCGTCCTTGTATGGGGTTCCTCAGCATTGCGCACCCGTGATCTCACCCCGCCAGGGACCGAACCCAGGACTTTCAGGTTCCGCCGCCAGTATATTACCATTGGACTGCTGGTTCGGGATCCAGTAGGGGCGTATTTCCAACTTCTGTCATCTCACGATATAGCATGACTTCTTTCCAATGCAATCGTTGAATAACTGTCCTCACATCTGACTTGATTGGCCCCACCGGTCACGACCTACTCTCACTTTAAGAAAGCTGCTCTTTTTGTTACGACCTAGAGTAACCACTTCATGAAGGTAGTAGTGCATCTCAGTTTTGTTGTCGTCATAATTTCTGGCTTAGCTTGAGTAACTAGTCCTACTGGTGGATATTTTGTCTGGTATATCATTAGCAGCACTCAGTTTCTGCTTAGTCTACTTCGTACTTCAAAAACAGGCTGTTATTGGTTTACTGTAGATGTTCGTCATTGTTACAATCAATAATGAAGAATGAAATGCAGAAAGGTGTGATGGTTTAGATTATTATGCTGTTGAAGGTGAGAATTTTCCCTTATCTATGAGGTATTTAGCTCATCGGGAAGTTTCGTGAAACTTCAGACCTATGGAGTATGATTTACAGCCTAGTGCATGAACCTGCAATATGGAGTCTATCAATAGCCTGAAGGAGCGGTCCCGTCATCGGGTAGGAAATATCATTGCTACGCTTAACGAACACTCTTAATGCACCCTCAAAACTAATCAGTGTAATCATATAACCCTCCCCTTCAAATTGTTGGGTTTCAAAGCATTCTTATTTGCCGGGGAGTCGGATCATTGGAGTTTACGTGCATGCAATGTGTCTCATCAAGTCTCTACAACCTGCCAGAAGAGATGCAGTTTACTTTCCCGAGATCTTTACACTGACGCCCTGACACCATGTAACTATGGTGAATGCATTCTGTTACCTCTAGAGAGTCATAGCCGAAGGCATGGACCTACAAACGGTCAACGTTTATTCCCACTTTTTACTCAATATATTTGGTATTGACGATAGTGGGGATTGACTAGATGATCCCTTCTGCTGAATATGATTTATTTTTGGATCAGAAAATGTCACTATTTCGTGTTATTCCTACACTAAGTGTTGCTTTTCTCACCTACCGTTCAATAAATTTTTCATGATTATCCCACTAAGAGGTTCACAGCTGTTTTCTTCATTTTATTGCTCTTAAAAACTAGAGTATTATTAGTATTTCTGCTAGAAAGAAAAACCCTGTATCATTCATGTTTTTTAATGTATATATTCATCTTTTGGTTACATTCTCATAGTTCAGTCATTCAACTTCGTGTGATCCTGAGCCTAGAGATCCATTATTCAGTGAGTATAGATAAATTTTTGATAATGTTTTACTGAACTGAGTATAAAGTTATGAGGAAGGTAATCTACTCCACTTTTCTTTTAAAGAAGTATTCATTAATGGCTTAAAGTGTTCAGTAGCTAGTAGTATACTATGATGTTGTGGTTTTTATTTTCCAGTGAATTTCAATACCCATTGACATTATCATCTATTCTCACAAATCACTACAACACAAAATCATCAAAGTATTCGTCATATTTATTATATCCTAAAGGTTTAATTTATCAGATTGACTAGACAATCAACTTTTAATTGCACGCGGATGCTTTGATGCTGCTGATTTTATATTGGTCTTGGTGACTAGCAGTGGCATCCAAGACGCGCGTTTAGTCCTATTTCAGACTTATCAGCCGGACGAAACGCGCGTCCTGAGGAATTACAAGTACCATTACAACAACAACTGATACCGGTTGCACAAGAGATGGCTGTCGTGCCCCAGTGGCTTATTGGATAACATTCTGGAGTTTGAAGCGACAGGTGCTGGGTTCGAACCTCATTGGAAACAACAACTGGGGTGAAGGTGCATGTGGGTGATGAGTCCCAAATAGGGCGAAACGTGCATCCTGGATTCATCTGCTAGACACTAAGATCAACATAACAAGTTGTGCCATATTTCCGCATACACTGAGTTCGACTGATACCTTTGTATGTGGGCTTGTGCTGAGTCGACTGCATCTTGTCGTTTGACTGGTTTTCGATTAAAACTCTTGTACAACTGCAGACAGGTAGTGATAAATCCATTGTTTGGTAACTGGAGACCAGTCGAAAGGAAGTCCTGGACACAGGATTCGTGCTTTTCGGTACTTGTTAGCAAGTCGAATGTGATGGATAGAATTTGGCCAGCACTCAGGAATAGACAAAATGAGATTGACTGTTCTTCAGTGAACAATTATTGTATGTAATCTAGTCATACAGGAGGTCAGTCACAGACCGAATAGCTCAGTGGTAACTTCGTCAACTGCAACAGTGGCTGTTGCGGGTTTGAATCTCAGTTGGGGCATCAGTTCCGTTGAGGTTGCAGATACATGTTGCTGACGAGTGCCAAGAAGCACGAAAATTGGATCAAGCAGAGATTCCTGCTGATTGCCTCCAAACAACTGACATCCACTTGGACCAACTTGATTCATTTTATTTGTCAATGAAATCCCGCTTTTGACATCCACGTTTTGTCTGTCTCATTAGCTGTGATTCAGCTGAGGTGGTAGTATCAGTGGCCTATACTTATTAGATGTGACTCATGGCCCTTGATGCACAAACCTGTGCTTTGCTACTTGGAATTCGACCAACTCAAAATAAATAACTTGTATATACGGGATTAAGTAATTCATAATGGGAAGTTCAGTGATGTTTTTGAAGTGAAGACATGAGTAAAACAAGGCTGTCTACTATCACCCATGATATTCCTGATTGTCGTGGACTGGATCATGCAACAGTGAGGAGCGAGGAGAGGGGGATACACTGGACCGTGGGAAAGACCCTAGAGGATTTGGATTTCGCCGATGACTTGTGTCTGATGTTACATAAACTTGAAGATGTACAGGCGAAAACTAAAAAGTTGACAGAGGAGGCAGGGCAGCAAAGACCGGACTTCATGTGAAAGTAGAGAAGACAGAGGTGATGAAGATGTCCAACCAACAACAACAACAAGCTCCAATCACCATCAGCAGAAGAGACTTGAAGAAAGTAGCCTCATTCACCTACACGGAGGAGATGGTGTGAGGAGGAAATGAGAGTTTGTGGTCTGTCGTGGAGCCAGGTTCAAATGTTTGCATAGAACATAGTGGGATGGAGGCGTGCTACCGAAGCCCTATGTTCCATTAGAAACCTAAGGGACAAATAATAATGTACGGGATTGCTGAGATAACAGTGTTGTTATATGCGAAAAGATTGCCAAGATTATCTTAGAAAACTCTAAATCCTTGAAGTAGTGTTGCTTGGGAGTTACCTGAAAGAAAAAAGTGAACCTATGTGTAAATATCAGATCGGTTCCGGGGGCGAAAATCCATTAGATTATTCTTTTCTAGGAAGGCCTGTAAGTGTAAGTGTAGATATGCTCTGTTGTATTTTGTACATATTTTGACATTACAATATACCATCTGTTGTGTTTACCGTCCTCCTATCTACTACTTACCGAGGAAATTAGCAACCATAAAGGATGAAATATGAAATCAAGGATATATTAAAAAGCAACGGTATGTAACCTACTTCTATCCTTCTCTATTAATTATGAATGGCTAGAACGCTTCAGTCTACGTAAACAATGGATATTTAACATTCTAAGAAAATCAATAAAGGCTATTTTCACATTGTTGATCTCCCATGACGAAAAGAGAAAAAGAGAGAAAAGTAGTCACATAGCAGCTATTAGATAGCTATGACTATTCCTCTGTATGTGTATGTGTGAGAGAGAGAGATTATAAGGAGCGTTAAGCCATGTCTTTTTTCTAATCATCTCAGCCTATTTTGCTTTTGTAAGGTTTTTCTATCGATCAATTCGTTTTTTATTCACATTCTTATGGTGATTCTTTTTACATCCGACTTTTATTCTTTGTAAGTTATCAGTTAGCATAAATGGTGATTAGTGTCTATTTAGCTGGTGTCCTATACGATTGGCATCAGGAAGAACTGCTTCTCAACGGCATGTTTTATTAAGTTGGTGTTTTCTTGTAGGTGGGCGGTTCAAAGTCTTGTCATTCAATGCCTTAGTTTAAAATATGCTATTGCTGAGCTGTTTCAGCCGTGACCAATACTGGGTAAGAAAGGGAATTAAGCGGAAAATCGATTAACGCTGAGTAATTGATACCATGTGGTTTAGACCTTAGTGCTGTTATCAAGTTTGGAGAATGGATATGGTAGTCAACTTTGTTTTAATGTTAGGTAGTTGGAAGTAGTTCACAAGAACTAGTGGTTCTTAGCTTCTTGATTACTGCTGGTCAACAGCAAATCTTTTGATTCACCTCGAAAGAGAGGATGTTTCCGTAGGGTATTATGGTCAGAAACATCATCAATGGGTTGGTTATTTAGGCAGCGAACAAACTGAAGGTTTCTATCATATACATTGTGATGATCAATCGCTGAAAAGAGCTACCAACACTGTTTTGTCTAGGCCCTAGTTCAGACAGGATTTACATTTTCTTATTTTCTGGCGGATAATTTCTGATTGGAAGAAGGGTGTAGTGTTTATCAATAGATGCAAAGTTGCTGTCTAGATTCATGACCTGCAAGTCTCAGGGTACTTATTCCTGATAAAGTAATTATCAGTAAACACCTGTGTGTTGTAAGTCATAGCAGCAAATCCTCAAAGGTCTATCTCCGTCCGTAAGTGTATTTCAAACTGATTCTTAGCTTTTACTTAATTTATCCCGAAATCAACACTTTTATTGTGACGCATTGCAATAAGAATGCGTAAAAACTATTACATTTTTTGGTTAGCTTTTCAGTTAACTAAAGGAATGGTTAGTTGCTTAAGTCTAAATGGGATTTCCCCTGAACTTGATGATCAGTGTAAGGTAAAGAAGGAAATCTAATGTCGGTACCCAATAATGTACACTGTATACTAACAGGACCGACATCAATTAGAAAACTATGAAGCACTAGACAGCTGTTACATTCTAGTATATAACTCCTTAACAATAGGCATGCACTACCCCCATTCGACCAGAGGTCGAATTCAGGACTCAGGGTCGGAGCTTAATGGTAGCGATACTAACCAGAGATATATCTATCAACGTTCTCAGTTAACATACGCTTCAGTTCCGATTGGTTAACCTCATGTGTCACGGTTTTTGGTATCAAAGTTTTAATGACTTAACCATTCGACTTTCAAGCAATCTGTGACGGGTTCAATTCCCGTTTTACCAACGTTGTTGTGTTTAGTGAGAATAGTTTCATAAACTCAATCACATGAATAATGCCTCTAGTATTTGAAAATTTAACTTTTAATTGTGTACTGTACACATAGTCAAGCAAAATTTCTTGTAGTAAGCTTTGAGTTCACTTCTCAAAGTCGATACAATAATCTCTTCATTGTCCCAAAGTTATTCAGCAATAAAAAAATCTTTCGATAACACTATTAGAAGACGAAGATTATCTGAAAAATGTATGTGTGTGTGTGTACATGTGATGTGTTTCCGTAATACATTTTGAACAGTCCGATCCCCCACACATTCACTTGTCAAGTCAATTTATTAATGAAAATGAAAGGTCAAATATATAATGAATATGACAAGGTTGTGACATTAGTCTTGGTAATATAATATCATCAGATTACCAAGGACTACTGAGGTATATACCACGGGATCTTACAATTACGAATAGTTAACGCACACATACATAGCCAATAGTAATCGTTCAATGCAGACTAGGGTAGGTGAACAACATGTATCTAAATGGCTTGAAAAACAGTTTAACACACACATTGATAAATTCAATTGACAGATATCTTCATCTACAACAGAACATTTCATCGAGATGAATCATAAGGTTAATGCGAAAACAGCGTTCACAATATTATACAGGAGTAGTCAAGGGTGAATATTGAAATTTGTCGAAGCGTTAACTATTCGTAATTGTAAGATCCCGTGGTATATACCTCAGTAGACCTTGGTAATCTGATGATATTATATTACCAAGACTAATGTCACAACCTTGTCATATTCATTATATATTTGACCTTTCATTTTCATTAATAAATTGACTTGACAAGTGAATGTGTGGGGGATCGGACTGTTCAAAATGTATTACGGAAATACATCACATACACACACATTTTCAGATAATCTTCGTCTTCTAATTATTATTATTAGTCCTTTAGGTTCCTAATGGAACATAGGGCTTTAGTAGCACGTCTCCAGTGACCTCTGTTCTCTGAGATCTTTTGAACCTGGCTCCACGACAGCCCAAAGGCTCTCATTTCCTCCTCGCAGGATCTCCTCCATGTCACCCTCGGACGTCCAACTCGTCGCTTCAAATAAAAACAACTTTAAACTGATAAAGTATAATAGTTTCAGTCACTGAAAGTGATCACGATGTGAAAGTTGAGGAAATTCCACAGTAGGATAATGATGTTTATTAATCCATGTATTGATCTACTAATTCTTATCTGTTGAAAGATCTTTTCCAATTAAATTCTCTTATCATTGTGTAGTATATCTATCTGACTCTCTTTTCAGGTCCATCGAATTGTCATTCACATTTGAATTCATCAGCTGCAGAAGAAATTCAGGGTGCAGTGCACATTCTAGCCGGTAAGTAGTAACTGATCGTGTTGTCATAGCTGCTAATCATTTATTACCCCTTTACTGTATACAATATATTTCTTATTGATAACACTATAATACCATGGTATTCTTCACTTGGTGATTGACGATGGAAGTGTACAGCAGTATTGTTTGTTTTGACATATTTGGTGGTTAGCATTGGAATTCAAGACGCGTGTTTCGTCCTATTTAGAATTCATCAACTGAATGTATTTGCATCTCACTAAGTGTTAGTGTTGTCATTAGGATGCGAAACCAGAATTCATTACTTCAAACGCCAACTGGAAGTTACAAGTGTCTTATGTTTATATGTGTATGCATCAGAAATATCCTCATATGGAAAAGGTTTTCAATAATAACAACAACAAAATGAAATCAAGACAAAATTTCAGTTTGTTGGTCATATGATGGTTAAGTTAGATATGATCGAATGGAAGTGGCTGGTAGGATAACCACTAACTCACTTGAAGTGGATACGAATAACGACTGTTCTTCCTCAGACCTGATACTTCACTGAGCTGCAAAAGTCAGAAGACAAAGACCAGCACCTTTGACTTTAAAGAAGACGACTTTATTTGACAAGTAACTCACCATTTATACACAGATTTTCCTTAGAAAATAAATCCACTAGGTCAGAAATCGGTTATTGGTCAGCTGAAGGACAAAGTTGTCCAATAAGGATTCCCCTGCCTACACCGTAACATGAAACCAAGGTTGAAATCCAAAACTTCTACCTTGGTGGCTGATGACTTAGAATGATGATTTCTATTTAGACCGTTTCCTTTTAATGCTTATATAATATATGCGTGTGTTTGTTGTCTTTTCAATTAAGGAATGTCTTATCAGTGCCTGTTTACTTACTACCTCTATGTGTGTACACACATAGCTGTGTATGAGCGTAACTTGCCCATATTATAGTTATCACCTATTTTCTAGCTTTATTTTTTATTTCCAAGTAATAGTACTCTGGAATTCAATGTCGACAACAAAATTCAGAAATCTGTACTAAGTGCTCACATACTTTTACAGACCATTTGGATTTCAATTCTGTAAGACAAAGGTGAAAAGTAGCGTCTGTCGAATTTGATACTTGTGCTATTGACAAAAAAAAGAGTAAAAGACCCAACGTCCATCAGTGAGCAGTTATTGATTGCCTAATGAACTTCACTTTTACGCTTGATTACCTGTAACTAATTAAGTTTTGAAGCTTTTAAGAGATTTATTGATTTTAAGTGGGTAGCTGTTGTGGCAAACCAAGTTGTACGTATGCATAGGTACTCAACGGCGATATTGGATTGAAGTTGGACTACACTGCTAACCAACAGAGATAGGAAAACATGAACCATTAGAACCAGGCCCAGTGGCTACCAGACCTGAAGTTCATGGGTTCGACCTCTGGCGGCACGCGATGATGTTTACACACTGCTGAGGAGTCGCGTACTAGGACAAAACAGTTGACCAGGTTTTCAACAACTTTTAGACTTTAAGTAAAAATAGAGGATACAATGGGCCATTGGTGACTTTTTCAATTTTACTTGATCATTCATAATTTGTTTTTCAAAGGTATTCATAACTCTGAAGCAGTCAGTCAATAGTTTCCTCTTATGGACTACACAAAATACATCATTAAGGGGAACCGATAGAGATTAGCATACCATCATCACTTCTACTCGTTTGTTTGGCTCTTGTAACAACTGTGTGCTGTAATTCCTACATCTTGCTTGGTGAATTCAAGTTGAAATTAATTCACAACAGTATTTTCAATGATACCTGGAATAATACTCACTTCTTTATGACTTTAATTGAAGTAGAGCGACAAACCTTATCTCTAGGGATAATTTATCTGTACTTCTTTCATTTCACAATATAATGCAACTATCATCCAATGTCATTAGTAGGCATTCTCCTCATTGTCAACTACGTCGTTGCCACAATCTATGACTTAGCACTAACACTTCACAAAATTCATCAGGAAATAAGTCGTTAGCCAGCATTGGATTATAGTTCAGCTGTCAATTTTTCGGCATTTATTCATTTGATCTCTAAGGGTCAACTGATTTGAAGGTCAAAGTTTTGTCCTCCAATGTTATTGGATGATGTTCACGCAGGTTGGTGAATGTGCGCTGTTGAGGACTCCCAAACTAGAATGAAACCACTGTTCAGTGCTCCCAGCTTTTCACTGGTCCTTCAAATGACATCAGTTCATAGTGAGAAGGCAATTTGAAATCAATGGCTCCTCGCACAATTTAACCAATTTGCACTTCATATTGTGATGTACTTGGTGACTGACAGTGGAATCCATGACGCATGTTTCATCCTTCTCGAAACTCATCATTCGCGTATACCTGTACCCATTGAGACTCAAACTCCGTACCCATAACTTCAAACATCAGAGGGTTCACTGGAGAAAAACAACGTAGGACCTTGCACATAGCTGCATCGGATCGAGTTGCCATAGTCGACAAAGTTATGTGAGAGAATAAAGAATGTGAAAAAAGCGGTCAGTGTGAATGTTCAAGCTTTAGAAAGTGCCAGTGACTGGATATATCTACGCTGTTGTGACTGATTTCCAGCCATGTCACCAATTGTCCTGAACCACTGACTCTGTAAAGGCAGTCCACATCTCCCCACCCGACTTAGACTGATAGTAAGAGATTTCATGGGCTAATGCCGTGTCTTGGTTTGGCCACCCTGAGCCCTCCACCAGCCTAATCCATGACACATCGATGTACGCGGTGGCTTGGCTGCAAAGGTGCAGCACATGTCCTGGTCATTTCAGTCGATGGAGGTTCACCTTATCAATCGACTTGGCTGTCTTGCTAAGTAACGTTTGCCTGGCCTCAACACTTCTCACATGATGATTCTACTTGACGTAACCAATGCTACAAAGATATCTATGATAAAACCCTGTAATTGCTTCATGTCTTCTATTTTTAACGGCCATGTTTCACAACTATATAATAGGCCTGAACGAATTTCAGCTCAGTAAACTCGTTATTCGGTAGATAGTCGGAAATCTCACCAGTTAGCATCAGAAATGAGGCAAGTTGGCGAATGTTACACGAGCCACTGGGACACGAGAGCCACTTCTTGTGCACCGGTTATCAGTTGTTGTTTCTTGATACTTCTAGTTTCCTGTCGCTATGCAGGGTCGAATCTTCAAACCTCTCCTTTAAAAATGTAGATCTGTTACTTTGATTGACTTTTCCCTCATTGATTCTCTTTTCCATGTATGATAGCATGAATATATTACCTATTCTTCTAGGTTTCATGTATGAGTGTGAAGACTATATAGTTTTCCTAACCATGGTAGATGCATTGTGGAAGAGTTCAATCTGGTGACCAGATTAGGTGATAGTCGAATATGCAGACAAGTGAGCTACAGCTTGAAACAGGAATTTCTCCTCAATTTGGTACTGACATGAATTTCTGAGATTTCTGTATTTTAACTCAAGTGCTAATAGATGTTAGTTGTCTACAGACAATTGGCAGGAAATCCTGATCCTAGGTTTCGCGCTTTTTGGTACTCGTCAGCAAGAGGTATCTGCGACCTCAGCGGAAATGATGTTCCACCTGGTATTCAAATGCCCATCACTTAGTGTTTTAGTCAAAGACGTTACCACTAAAGATCGTGATGGCGAGCCTCCTAACCTGGTGATCACACTACAAAATGATCGATTGAGTTCTATTAGCACTAAGGACTAAACTAAATGAAACTGGTTACCTTTCAGTTACCAATCAATACACTTAAGTGCTCGTTGCATATATGAGTATGAATTCCCTATTTACCCGTAACCATGCTTGTACATGCAGTTGGATGTTTCAGTCATTTATTGTTGGAGACGCCACCACACTATTGCATTAAATATATATATGTATATTTTTCAAAACATTTTTCCAGGTCGTCAAGTTTTTCCCAGCTCTGGTGTAAATTGTTCTCGTCCAGGAATTCGTGTTAAAAGTGCTTCTGAATCAGAACATCTACTAGTAATCAGTAAATCTTTATCTAATGTAAGTACGATATCTCTGTTGGTATACACCGATTCATTATGTAGTTTAAGAAACCTGTTTTGATATTCATTCTATTCCAAGGTAAACAAATGGTATGGCGTTAATTGATTTCTGATTAATATCCACCCTAAATTTGTAAATAAAAATCTAGGATCAATGGTAATAGGCTAAAATACTGTTTATTCTATTGCCTTTCTTGTTAATACTGATGCTTGTTTGTTTGGGGAGAGAGGATGACTATACCTGTTCAGTCGGTAGCTTACTAGATTTCAGTATAAGAAGGCACATATCATATAATTCATTGGATAACAGTTTTCAGACATTTTACTGCTCCATATGTTGAATATATTGATACATTGTTAAAATACATAAACTCTATTGGTTATCGTCATCGAGATCAACATAGAACCAGGCATTACTGTGTGACGGTCCAAGTTTCCACACTTCATATCATTGTATCCAGTAAGAAGGTAATAAAGTGGGGGGTGAAGAGAGAAAGAAAAACCGATCAGAAGAAGTAGGAAGCACTAAAGGAGAGAAAAGAAGAGTGAGAAAATGAGGGGATTAAGTATAGCGGTTAAGATGCGCCAATGACATGAGTTCTGAGCCATATCACCTAGAGTCCCCAACTACTTGTTTCTCTTGTCCCGCGGACCCCAACCGGCTAGTCTGCATCACCCCACATAGCTCAAACTAACAGTCAAGGACTTCATGCCATTGGTAATACAATCCAATTCATATATGAACTAGAAATTGACTAGTGATTTTGGATAGCGAAAGCAAATGAAGGCAAGACGATGATCTACAAAGGAGCCACCACACTTTAATCGATACTTTGACTGTAGGTCATCTCATCCAATATCAGTTACGGTGGGTAATGATGTTTCTCACTGAAAGGGATACCGAAGAAGTATATCACTTTGCTGAAGGCTGTGTATTGTAACAGCTGCGAACATCGGGTGGTGTTTGTCAAGGATGTCCACACTTTCTGTTCCTATTCAACTTTATCATAACTGTACTTATAAAAGTCCTCCTCTTGCTGTATCGCCTCACTGGGATTAATCTTATAAAAAAGGAGAATCCTTGGTAAACCTAGTATACGCAGATGACGTCGTAGTCTTGTCGATTGAAGAGCCTGCCAAGATGTAGTGTCTTCTGTCCACCTTGAAAAGGTCTGGGATGGGCCTATCTCTACCCAAATGCAAATTGTTGATTCAGGACTGGTCTTCATCAGTGACCCGGCTAACAGTAGAGAGGGAATCGGTTGAGTCGGTTGAACACTTCGCTTACTTGGGAAGTTGAATCAACCCTAGTGGGTCAGTTGTCAACGAAAACTCTGCGTGGATTTAAGATGTTGGGTATGATTCTGCCAACTTACGCCATCTATGTTACTGCCATGATATCTAGTTGTCGATTTAGGGTAGAGTGTACTCTATTGGAGTTCACTGTGTTCTGTCATATAACTGTAAATCATGGTCATTAAAGATGGAAGATATGAGAAGGCTTCACGTGTTTGATTACCGTCACCCTCTTAGCATAGGACGTGTCGTGGTGTCACCAAGTGAGTAACGCGGAAGCCATTTGATAAGCTTATAAACCTTTATTGGCTGAGGTGACTGGGTTATGTATGTGTTACGCTTGCCTAGTCAGTGTCAACCTCGTCGCAAAAAGTTACCCAAAGTAGGTTCAGACTCGAAAAGGTTAGAGATTGTCAGACTAAAATGTGTCATCAGTCTGGGAAGTCTTTGACTGTTGGTTAAGGGAACAAAGACTTCCCGTTTGGGGTCCGCGTGATGATAATAGAAACCAGTGGTTATCGATTCCATATGTTATGACTCATAATCTACCTCAACGGTGCAGATATATCCACATATTTTCTTTATCTGAATCGTCACACTAAATTTCAGTATTTCTCACTCCATCTTCCTCTCTTCTACTGCTTTTACTCGAGTTTTCTTTATTTCTTTATCTTTCACTTTGCTACTTTGTTACTTGATGTGCTGATAAGACTATGGTAACTTCGACTGTTACGCAGGAACTCCTGGTTCTATGTTGATACTGATGATGATGAAGGAATGTTTAGTCACATGTCTAAGTAACTGGGCCAAAAGACACATATAATTACTCAACATCTAACTCCATGAGTTTATTCAGAAACGCACAAGAAGTAGTGAGAAAAATACTATTAGTAATACAATCACAGATACAAAAAGTGATAGCAATGAAACCGCGGTAAAGGAATTTCAAACCTCTATAGTCTAACCGTATATAGGAGAGACATCAGATGACATATATAGGATGCTTAATAAGGTCAGGATTATAGTGATATTCAAGCCTACAAAAGTCACTTAGTCACTTCGACTGCTGGAGGATCTTATCGAAGCTATCGATCTATCGAGTCTACCAAATGGTTATGAGGTCAAATGCATAGGACAAACTAGCAGTTAGAGCTAACTACTAGGCTTGCAAGACATAAAAACCTATCTAGATACAGAATAGTAGACTCGAACAGGATAATAAATCTGGAAGAAAAAACCTCAGCTATTGCCACACTTGGTGGAGTGAGAGAGAAAGAGAGATTGATAACTGAAGCTGATTTCATCAAATCGACACCTGACGCATGTAACAAAAATGACGCCATAGACCAACTCCAGATATGTCGAAAGTTTTGTTACCAATCAAATCAAAGAAGAAAAGACAAGAGAACCATAAAACTAGGCCAAAAAGTTATGCAATTACGTTGATGTGGTTATGTAATCAGTAACTTTTGCTCGAAGCGTCTCTCAAAACATGACAGTATTGTTTCACTGTGTGATTCATATTAAGAGAGAAATGTAATGACGTTTTATTGTTTGATTGGTTTTGGAAAATTGATTCATCAAAGTGATTTTTCCTTTTGTTTTTACTTCAAGTCGTTACGATTACATAAATCAAAGCAGAGAAACGTAATCTGTGTGTATGTATAAGTTTAAATGAATTCAACATTTCTGAAGTAGCATCTTGGTGTGACTTGCGATTTTCGTATGTAGAAGTGTTGAATGATGAGCGTATCGATTATTTTGGCTTCCAGCTAACGAAATCATTCCTAGTGTACTTCTTGTTCGGTAAATCCTAAAATGGATAAAAACTGACTGACTGAAAAAATCAACGTTGAACCTTTCACATTGATGGGTTGGCTTAAGTTGCTATACTTCACAGTAGCATGCAAAGAACGGATGGACAGAAAAAGAGTGATATCAAAGTGTAGCGGAAGTAATATTAGAAAATAAGCAATCAAACTTTAGAAGGCGTCAGAGGATGAATACATCTGCACCTTTTCACCAAGAGTCTTCAAACACTGATTAATTTTGTCTTGGAGATGCAAGTCAGGGAGTATACATCTCGCCACACACCTCAGATTAACAGTCAGAGACTTCTTGAACTAATGTCATTGTCTTGATCTGACCACCTTGAAACTCCTTCTAATCTAATCGAACTTTCCCTAGCATGGCACATCGAAGTAGGTGGTTGCTCGGTTTGCGTATGGATAAGGAAATTCTACTTGACTGGAATCAATTTATTTTACTCACGATACTGGCGAAATGTCCGCAGACACATACGGGGTTGCAATTCTTAGTGTCCAGATGTTCTCTTGTGAGTAAAGTGTGTAGATATGTGAATGTAGATGTCTTCAGAGTATCGTTCATGCAGCATAGACAAGACGTTATGTTGGTTAGTTACTATGTGAACAGGTGAGAACATGCATTGACCGATGTTAGTAAGATGTGAATACCATTCCCTTGTGGACAAAAGTTTTATGAAGTTGAACCAGATTAGAAAATATCTTCGGGTTAAATTTAAACTGAAACTTGATTAGTGTTGATGCCGTTCAGCTTATCATTCGCAAGACAATGATTGGATTCCATGAGTCGCCTAATCTATGCATCGATGTTACAACCCAGGGTTTCTTATCACTTCTATTAGCTTCCGTTATAGTTTCTTCTATGTTTTGTCGCGTGTATTTCGTCTAGTGTTACCTTTTTAATAATCTAATTTACATCATCATGGTCATCTCGTTTCACGTCTATTGAGAACTGTAAGTCATCAGGAATCGATTCACAATTACTATCAGATTTATGTGTTTTTCAATCATGATGGTGTATTTTTTCATCTGTAAAGTGTAAATGTGGTTCAGTGTAGAGGTAGGTAACTTAGGTTTAGGAATTCGGGAATTTTGGTGAACAGCTTAGTAACTAAAAGATTCCGACTAATTGCCTGAAGAAGAGCGTATCTCATTGTTTGACATGTTATTTGTTGGCTTTTACATTGTCTATTATTACTCTGCCACATTAATATAAGTGTAAAACTTGTGCATTGTAGTAATTCTATATTCGATTTGTGTATTTGATATATACCACACAGGGAGATACAGTAGTATTTACTTGATCAGTCAATCCTATTGCTCAACCCATATTCTTTATCTTCGTTGGCGGTAAACGTTTCTATACCTTTCACTTAAGTGTTACATCATTCCTGTTACATGTGTTGGGTGTTGGTTGATTCTACAAACAAAGATTTAGTAATTAATGACTCTCTCCACCTTACTGTATTGCGTTTAAGCTCCATGGTTTTATCCCACTCTATTGTTTGGTTGTATGTGTTAATGCATAGATTGAAGACACTGAGTGATTTTTTCTAGACTGTTGATCTTATTGGAGTGCATAATTTTATATTTGACTGATCTCCTATGATCCAATAATCTAACTGACTCTGATTGACTAGTTTGATATGATCTCACTTGATCTCACTCGCAGTCATTGCATGCAATTCAGTAGAATAGATAACTTTGCTCAATTGGTTCTATGGGATCTCTAAACCGACAAAGCTTATCTCAGAGTGAGTTGGTGAGTTTATATGACAGGGTAATATCACCTTTGTTGAGAGTCCTACGTGTAGTTTCTGATATTCCTTGCTTGTAGGGTAATACAAGGGAGACTGTGAACTCCTTTATACTCATGTTGTCGTCATTATTCGTACTCATGTTACTGTTATTATTTCGTTTCTTATGTGTTCATACGAATTTCTTAAACTGTAGAAGATAATTGTCAATTATTAACTCTTCTTTTATGTGATTCAATTCCCTGTTTAAGTTCTAGCATTGAATAGTGAGTTTCCTAGCTCTGTCATCTAAACATTCGACTAAACCTGCTTTAACTGACATTGGATGAGATGATTTGAGGTTTAGATACCTGTTGAAATGTGTCGGTTTTTTGTAGACGGTGGTATCCCAACAACTGTCTGTCTGCTGTTTTATCCTGCAATCCAACATAGGTAATTCTCCTTGTTCATTTTCTCCCACTCAGTAAGTGAATTGGATTGTGTCCACTGGAGAGTTTATGTTATGTGTGTGGAACTTGTCAATATGTTCTGATTTCAACAGAGTAGTAAATGCGTCATGGACATATCTCCACCATATTTTTTGTGCAGGGTTAAATGTTTGTAAAGCCATGTTTTCCCAACTATGTATAAATATTTATCTGCTACGATTGGGGATATTGGCGATCTCATTGCTACTCCTTCTCACCATCCATTTATTTTGTCTTGAAACTGTAAGACTGTCGAGGTCAGGTACAACTCGAAGCCTAATATCATCTCATCAACCGATATCTTAGTTCTGTGAGTAAGTTATGAGTCACTATCTAGTTGACTTCTGACTGACTACATTGTCATATTCATTGGTATGTTAGTATGAAGACTCGTCATATCGAAACTAACCATTTTCTTCATCTTCTTCTTCTATATTGTATCTCATTAACCCTTAGTTCTAACTTGTGAAAGTTTACCAGTCTGCAATTTCAACGCTTCCTAATAGGACACAATATCGATGCTAAGTAATTTGCTACCTCATATGTAAGGGTATTTTCGAACCTCTGAACTGGATTCCGATATATATATATATATATATATATATATATATATATATATATATCTGCTATTAGTGGAAATATTAGTGATCTCATTGCTACTCCTGTTTTCCTCTGTATTTCATCTTCAAACTGTAAGACTGTCGAGGTCAGGTACAACTCTAAGCCTAATATGATCTCATCAATCGATATCTTGTCTCTTTGAGTAAATTCTGAGTCGTCAATATTTAGAAATCACAAGTCTAGAATGAGAATTACTACTGAATCATCGTTCATCGAGTCAACACCCAACACATGTAATAGGAAAGACGCAACACCTATGTCAGAGAAATAGAAAATTTTACTACCTATAAAAACAAATAATATGAGGTGGGTCATGGGAATAGAAAACATAGATGTTGAAAGTTGTGTGGTTAAATTCGGTATGTGATTATGAGGAATGCTAATTTATGCTGGAAACGTGATCAGGTACATAACACTGTATCATTTTGTGCTCTATATATCAAATAAATAAATCTAATGTGGATTACATTCAACCACAGTTTTCATGTAGAATATTTGTAGCTCAGGTGGATGGTTTTGGTTGTATTGTGTTCTCTGAGCTGGGTTGTTTAATCGTGAAGCTTTCATCGTCTTTCTGGACGACATCATCAGTACTAACTTGAGTATGCAGTGAGCTGTCAATGTCTGTCTGGGAGTGATTTAGTGGCTTTTTCTGACTATGTGGTCTGTGATTGGTTGTTTCGTTCCATTGTTGTATTATTGACTGTGTAAACTTACTTGGGGGCTGTTCCTCTGCTTCACCTCTCACCTTTCTGTCGTTTATCACTTTTCTTATTAGTTGATCCTTGCTTGTAGGGTAATACAAGGGAAACTGTGAACTCCTTTATACTCATGTTGTCGTTATTATTCGTACTCATGTTACTGTTATTATTTCGTTTCTTATGTATTCGTGTACTGACTAGTGAGTTCTTACTTCTATCATTTCGAAATTTGACTAAACCCACCTTAACTGATATTGAATGAAATGACGTGAGGTCTAGATACTTGTAAGAAGGCGTCGGTTTCCTCGAGACGGTAGTATTAAAACCACCGTTTGTCCTTCGTGTTTTCCTACAATCCTTCTTGTCCATTTTTTGCGTCATAACTGGATTGCGTCCACTACAGAGTTTATATGTGTCTAGAAATTGTCTATGTGTTCCTATTTTTGACTCAGTATATGTATCATCCACATATCGCCATCATATTTTAGATGGAGGATTAAACGTTTGTAACGCCATGTTTTCTCAAGTATCCATAAATATATCTGTTACGATTGGAGATATTGGTGATAGGGTGGGATAAAACCAATGAACTTCATCACAATACTGTTGGATGGAGAGAGAGATTGATTATTTAGTCTTTGTTCATCGAATACAACACACAACATATGTCACAAGAATAGTGTAACACTTATCTGAAAGGTATAGACAATTTTATCGCCAACGAAGATATGAGGTGGGTGATAGGATTATAAAAATCAGATGTTGAATATTGTGTGATTTCACACTGATACGATTATGAGCAGTGGATACTTTATACTTCAGATGTAATCGAGTAAATAGTACTATATCACCTTGTGTGGTGAATATCAAACATGGAATTGATTGTCGGCAGTCACCTATTTCTAATACCTTCGATAAACCTGCAAAGATTATAATTTGACTCATAATGGAAACAGGCAATTTTATGTAGATTTCCTTGCTTTTTGGCAGACTGCTTTTACTCAAATTTTTTTTCCTGGGGAAACATTCATTTCCTTTGAACTGCTACAATGGAACAGTGCCTGGTAACTGTAAACTCAGCGCTATCATGTTTAACTAACTGTGACTGTATTATCGCTGTATATAGCTACACACAGTTTTGCATGTGATTCAGGTGAGAACTTCATCATAACAATGCACACACACACATGCATACACACAGATACATTTGAAAATACTTCATTTACCTCCAAATAACGAAAAAGGCTACCATCCGAGGTAGTTTGAAGTATCAGGAACTAGGTTTCAGTTGCGGTGGAAAAGAACCCAGAGGATTTGGATTTCGCAGATGACGTGTATCTGATGTCGCACAAACTCTAAAATCTACAGGCGAAAAGTAAAAAGTTGACAGGAGGCAGGGCAGCGAAGACCAGACTTCATGTGAACGTAGAGAAGACAGAGGTGATGATGATACCCAACCAACACCACCACCAACAACAACAACAAGCTTTAATCACCATCAGTGGGAGAGACTTAAAGAAAGTAGCCTCATTCACCTACACCTACACCTACCTAGACAGCACTGTTTCAACTACAGGTGGTGGCACAGACGACGATGTCAAAGCCAGCCAGGATCAGAAAGACAGCAAGACAGGCGTTCATTGACCTGAAATCAGTGTGGAGATGTGCACTCAGCATGTGGAACAAGAACCGGATTTTGAACACTATCAATGTCAGTGAAGTCAGTGCTTCTATGTGATGGTTGAGAGATTTGTAGCATTATGAAAGGCATTTCCAACAAACTACTGACTCGCTGACTCGTTGTTGAAGATCAGATGGAAGGCTGGAAATAATAAGCAACAATGAACTCACTCTGTTAGTGAACCAACTAAGCAAGAACCTATTGCTGAACAAATGTGCAGTAGAAGGAAGTGGAAATGGATTGAATTGGCATACACTAAGGAGGTTGACTAGGGACATCTTGCGCGAGGTCAGGCCCTCGAGTGTAAGCCAGATGGGAAGCGACGAGTTAGGTGTCGTAGCTGAGGGTGACATGGAGGAGATGGTGTGAGAAGGAAATGAGAGTTTGTGGTCTGTCGTGGAGCCAGGTTCAAATGTTTGCATAGAACATAGTGGAATGGAGACGTGCTACTGACGCCCTATGTTCCATTAGGAACCCAAGGGACAAATAATAATAATGGTAATAGTAGTGTATCGTGTTCTGTCTCATTTTTGTGTGTGCTGTGTTACAGTTTGGTTGAATGTTAAACAGCTTTGCACTCAACACATATTCTAGATGTGCACTTGTGCTTGGGTATTTTTTATGCATGGAGGCGGCGATGGATGAGGCCGCAGCGACAACCACTAGCTAGTAGGAGGTAACAATAGACAGAAGAATAGCATACGTATTGTTTTGACGACTAGCTGTTTTTTTAAAGTCCAAGTTCAATCAAAGGAACTTATCTATATTAAGGATATTCCTTATTTGCTCTCACTTGGTTCATTACTATATATATTGTTGTATGTTATTGTTTTCTTATCTTTCCGTTTCTATGCAGTCTAAGGAAGATTTTTCTCCTCATGCTTTTGGGCACTTTGGTGAGTATTTTTCTTTACACTTTCATATGTATTTTTGATGTTCAACACACAGTTGTCAGCTTTAGCTTTGTTATTTATCCTTATTTCAAGGCAGTTTGTGAGAATTTCGGTATTCATCATGAACTGAGATCAGTTGGAGGAACATTAGAAACCTAGACAGCTGTTTCGTCACACTTGGATGGGATTCTTCAGCAGTGCGCACCCATGACTCCGCCTTCCAGAGATCTATCCCGCGACCTTGAGATTCCGTGATCAGAACGTTACCATTGAGCCACTGGGTCGAAATACAATGGTCCATATTTCCAACTTCTATCAGTTCACGACATAGCGCAACCAACACCCAGTCTCATCGTTAAGTATCCGTTCTGACGACCACCAGGTTTGCACCTCTCTAGATCCCCACAGATCCTCAAATTCAATTGAACTAGTGCTCATTGGTGACTACCTTCGAGAGATGATTCTTGAAGTCCCAATGACAAGTCGTGAACAGTGAAGCAAACTTGGTGGTCGTGAGGACAGAAACTCAACGACGAGATTAGATGATAGTCGCGCTATGTCGTGAACTGATAGAAGTTGGAAATATGGACCATTGTATTTCGACCCAGTGGCTCAATGGTAACGTTCTGATCACGGAATCTCAAGGTCGTAGGATAGATCTCTGGAAGGCGGAGTCATGGGTGCGCACTGCAGAAGAGTCTCATCCAAGTGTGACGAAACAGCTGCCCAGGTTTCTAATGTTCCTCCAACTGATTTCAGTCCATGATGAATTCCAACTTGAAAAATCTTGAAATCCTCACAAACCCCCAAATTTAGTTTCTGAGTAGTTGCTTATTAACTAGTGCGCGTAACGAAATTCATATTCATCTTTCTACATCATAGGTACCACATTGTAATGATGGACAGTCACTAGAAGTGGGATCCATGTTGCACATTTCGTCTGATTTAAGACTCGTCAGCTGGATGTACATACTTCCTAGTGAGTGGTGTTGTCGCCAATAGAACTTGAACCCAGAATTGATCTCTTCAGACTCTGTGTCTGTTTGCTTTGACCGTCAAGCATCTTAAAATACTTTCCAGCTCTGTCTTAAACCTTAATATCTTTCTTCCGCGTCAGTTCATTGAGATTTACCTTTTTTACCAGTTGAACAATAAATTTCACTTCTTGGGTAGCCAACTATTCGAAGAATATAATGTGAACATCACTTGCGGAATAGGATGATGCCACTTTATTCCATGGGGTTTTTAACAGCTTACAACCTTAATTATTGCAACAAGTAATAATAACAATAATAATTATTTATTTCTCCCAGTTGGGAACACCCCATATATATATATATATATATATATATATATATATATATATATATATATATATATATATATATATATATATATAGTACCAGCTATAAGTAAGCTGTTGAAACTGTACAAAATAAAGTTTCATCAGATCTACTAGTGGGGCATATTACATGCTTCAGATGCTTGATTCGACTTTATAAATGACTTCTAAAGTAGATTCAGGTGGATCACAGTGACCAGGACTGACTAGATGCGGATAAATCAAGCTGTTAATCGCTTTCCAGTTTCCTGTAGACAACCGTACATACTAGTGTTCGATGATGCGTTTGAATACAATGGGAATCAGTAAACACACATGGAGGTGGCTCAACACGGTAGTTTGCTTTTTATGGACTCTCAAATCACTTGTTGAGTGGTGAAAGCAATCGGAAGTTGGATGGACGAGAAGCTTTGACAGTTCATTTGTTCGAGCCTGATTTCTGCTTTCAAGAGGGAGCCCTCCAATCTCTTATTTCACTTTTTGGCTATAATCTCTGTTATAGTGTTATTAACAGGTATTAAGTTCCCTGATACAACAAATCGTGTCGCACAGAAGTTTCAAGAAAGAGCAAGTGAACCAAGGTGTAAATACCTAATTGGTTAAACAGATAAAAATCAATAGGACATTCTAATCTAGAGAGGCTTGAAAGCAGTATTTAAACCGTTGTATTTTGTGTACATTTTGATATTGCAGTATTCTTTTTGTTATCCTACCACCTTTTCCATTTCCCAAGGAACTGAGAGACCGTCAAGAGAGGGAATCTAAAGGTTAATGTTCAAGTGTCCACATATACACGATTCAGGCTATATCAAGTGGGTGACTTTAAAGACACCTACCAGCTGATGAGATAGCCAACTACATCCCTCTACTTTAAGAAAAAGCACTTTTCCAGGCGAAATATCGAGGCCTGATTGGTCATTTCAGTAGTTGCTAGGGTTGCCTTTAAAGTCGCTCTAAATAAATAAATATATAAAAAGTAAATAAGACGTCTTAGGGAGATTGTTATAACGCCGTCGCCAATTGCTGAGTCTTTGTAGCGACTACTTGGCATTTATTATTTGTCCCTTGGGTTTCTAGTGGAACATAGGGCTTCAGTAGCACGTCTCTATTTCACTCTGTTTTCTGCAGTCTTTTGAAACTGGCTCCACAACTGCCGAGAAGCTTTCATTTCTTCCTCACATGATCTCCGTCATACCACTCTTGGATGCCCAACTTGTCGTCTCCCTTTTGGATTCCACTAGAGTGCCTAGCCTGGCGCGTGATGTCCCTAAATGGTCTTCTCAGTATATGCCTGATCCATCTCCGCTTTCTTCTTCTGCATATTTGTTGGTCGATTGGTTCTTGTAGCGACTACTTGATATGAGGGACTTTAAAAGCCACCTTAGCAACCGCTTAGATGATCAGTCAGCCTTCAGTATTTCTCCTGGGAAAGTACTTTTCCATAAAATAGGGGGATGTAATTGGCTATCTCATCAGTTGCTAGGGTGACCTTTAAAGTTACCCATTTATTTATTATAATTCTATAACCGATTTTCTAATAACCTTGTATCGACCTTCTAGCTATAATCATGTGACTTAATCGGCAATTTTCGATGACCTTGTGTTGACCCATAGGCTATTCATAAGTAAAATATTTTGTTGTAACTATAATTACAGTTTTTGCAGCCTTTTTTGTTAAATTAAGTTTATGAGGAAAGAAAAGCATCCTAATAATCATCTATCACGCAGCTACACAACTATGATTAGTTTATGTCTATTTCTCTTTCTCATTGAGACCTCAGGTGTATGCTCAGAGCAAGCCAACTGTCCATGCTTCTCTTCTCTCCCGCCTACTCTACAAAATCATAAACAGCAGTAAAATCATTGAAGCGGAACAATATATGACTGATATGAAAACAAGCTGTTGACTTGTGCTAGATTGTTATTTGTTTATGACTGAAGGAATTGTTAGTGTTGATTCATAAATTGTATGTATGCAGTGGAAGGAAGGTTAGTTGTGTTGGATTGACAGAATTGTCAAACCGGTTGACTCTTTCCAGCTGCCCATTACGTTCTTCTTGAGCTGCCTGAGCAGGTGATCTATCACTGCTCAGCTTAGGGGATACCTAAATGATGCTGGTCACTCGCAGCTTTTATAAAAGTTTGAGACTAAAGTTTGTTTATTTCTCTCGAATCGTGTTATAAATCAATATCACCTGCGCCGAAAGACTGCAGAGTAGGCTGAATGTTCGCTTCTGAGACTGATCTTTTATAATCCAGCTAAGTGGTGCTATACTTTGACTTTGGATGCCATTGTTGCATCGTAATTTACGTTATAACGGAAAGTGTTTTTGTCTCACTACTATCCAACTGACCTTTCTGGTGTTGCTGAATCTTAAGGGAACAAATACTCCACTAGAATAGCTTATTGGGTCATTGTGATATACAATCCCAACCACCACATCAACATATCAGCTACTTGTCTGGAGTTGGGTTATGCTGACATGTGTAGGTGCATCCCCACTCCTTGGATTGAATTCAAGAAATCATATCACTTAGTGAAATGACAATAGAATTGAAACTGATAACAATCATTTGGCAGCATCGGTGTTGCTGAAAATAAGACACGCCTCTTGACGTTTTTCCCTCTTTTAAGAAACTCGTTTTTCAGGGCCCAGCAGTTAAGTCAATTTTCCGGAAAGGGATCAGCTTACTTTTGACCATCCTATAATTCTCTGATCGGGGGTAGTTATCATTTTCTCTTACAAACAAAATTGTAGGAAAAATAGTAATACTTACAAGAATTTCACAATCTTCAACTCTCTAAAAGTCAGTAAATAATCTATTTTCATCTGATTGGTCATTTCAATGATGTCAGAAATTTCCGACTGTACCACGACATGATTTTTCGGTTCTACTGAGTGAGACTTTCGAAGGATATGTGATGCTGCTAGAAGTTATTAGGGAAGGTTTAGACTACCTGATGTTAGAAATCAGTACTTGACGACTGTCAGTGAGTGATACAGATCGAAACTGATTACAATGGTACAGATGTTATCATCAGGATTCGTAGCAGTTTATTAAACTTCACTAATTCGTTACTTCCTATCTTGATTCATTGTTCACTTTAATATCAGATGAAGAAAATCAACCAACAAGGTTCAACCTACACTTATACATACTCACCAAGCGACCAATCAGGCTTTACTATGGTCAGATAGCACGTCAATAAATATCCATGCACAACCAGTTACTTGTTCTGGTGACGATGTCTTACATGGCATTGAAAAGTCGTTTACAAATAAAAACCTCGGTGCAGAGAACATTTCACTCAGAACATCTATGCGTCGCGCTATAAAAGTTTGCCACAAACCTATTATCAGTTTATTTCCGTTGTATGAGATATGGCGTTCAGAACAACTTCACTTCATATCAAGTTTTCTTTATTCTCTCTACTATTTTGAAAGTTGATGCGCTCACATAAATTAATATGTATTTATCTTTTGTTTATTATCGTTATTATTATTTTCTCCCTCAGATGAGAACCGTGTTTACACCACATTGTTCCGTCATTCTACTTGTTACGATGTTCTACCAGATAGTGGAAAACTGGTAATCTTAGATTCACGCTTGCCTGTAAGTATTGTGTTTCTTTATTGTATCTGTCTCATTACTATGTTGTCATTCTGTTACTTGATTGATTTTCTGGACAGGACCATACTGTGAAATCATTTTCTAAAGTTTATCAACATTTTCGTAAATCGAATTATATTAACACCGTTAGTTTGTTTGCTCTGTCACTTTAACGTGTTGTTTTTTGTTAATTTTTGTGTCACCTTTTTCTGAACTGAATGAATGAACTGCTCTCAGCAGCATTGTAATGTGTTACATGGTTATCAGTGGAATCCAGTACGGGCATTTCATCCTATTTTGAACTTGTCAGCTGAATATACTTGCATCCTAATGGGACTCAAACCTTAGTACCCATCGCTTCAAACTCCAAAGCGTAATCCACTGGAGCATGGGCAGCACCACTTGTGCATGAGTTATCAGTTACTGTTCGTCGATACTTGTAATTCCTCGTTTCTCTCAGTAACCTTGTGCACATCTGTGCATTAGGTGATGCGCCATTCTTAATGTGTTAAGAAGGCTAATGATAATACTTGGTGGATGTCTTAATCTGGATAGGTGGAACTGGATTCGAACTTGTGGCCCATTACTCGAGAGCTAAATTCCTAAACCAATGAGCTACACCTCCACTTACCTTCTTCTGGTAGAAGCAGCTGAATCAATGCCTTGAAAAAGAAACTGAATTCTTCTCCTTCTGGAAGTTAGTTGGCGGTAATGGTTGTATGTTTTTGTTAAGAAATATATTGAGTAACGCAAATTTACTTTTTCAATTGTTTATTTGATTAGTAAGGGATAATTTTTCCACTCTGAATTTTAGACTCTACGTGCAATGTCTGCCCTATTAGATAATGGAGTTATGGCTGCACCAGTCTGGTCCAATGAGACTCAATCCTACTTAGGTGTTTTCTCTCAAGATTTAGCATTGGATATGCTTGCACATTTGCATTATTCAGAGGTGAATAGTAACGGAAATATGGACTGTCCATCAACTGTATTCTCCTCCTCATCGTCCTCTTCCCCACCTTCTTCATTCTCTCCATTTAAAACAAATTTCTTCAGATGGGGTTCAAAGCAGTTGGGTGAAATTTTAAGTAAGCTATTTTTGTACCATATTACCTCCGATACTATGGAGCATTTTTTCTTAACACTATCCAACAGACATTACGACATAGATGGACTTCAAAAGAACAAAACTTGTCCAGTCATTTTGATATACAAGCCCGATCACCACATCTAGGTAGCAGCTATCAATCAGCAAATAAAACAATAATTACTTTTAAATTTCAGGTTGGTATTCATGAATACCGTGCATCCAGAAGCAAGTTACTTTATTCAGTCAATTTACTAAAGAATAATGAGTAGGAAATAAATTATTACAACAAAATAATAAGCAAACGTACATTGTCTGTACTGTGTATTGCATTTGTGTAACACATTTCGAATATAGAATATTCCTATTTAGACATTTAGAAAAAGACTGATTAGACCTTCGTTTTTGGCTCTACACTAATATATAGTTTAAGTAAGTTATGAACATGATGTTTTAGAAAAAAAGATGTGAATAATCAGTAGAGTAATGAACATTCAAAATATGAAGCAGGTTATTCTTAGGTAAATTGAGTGGTTTTTGATGAGTGTTCTGTGTTCCACTTGAGTGCCTGGCATGCCCAATCCATCTCCACTTCCTTCCAGTGCATGTTTGTTCAGCAATAGGTTCTTGCTTAGTTGGTTCACTCACAGAGTGAGTTCCTTGTTGCTTATTATTTCTGGCCATCCATCTGAGCTTCAGTATCGAGCCAGCGTAGGTGGCAGTTGTTGATGAATATCTGTAGTTTGTTGGAAATGCCTTTCGTAATGCACCAAATCTCTCAACCATCACATAGAAGCACTGACTTCACTGACATTGATAGTGTTGAAAATCCGGATGTTGTTCACGCTGTGTGCTGAGTGCAGACAATCTCCACACTGGTTTGAGGGTCAATGAAGGAGAGCCTGTCTTGCTTTACCGATCCTGGGCCTTGTTGTTTTTGGTGGTGGTCGTGGTGGTGTTGGTTGGGTGTCTTCATTACCTCTGTCTTCTCTACGTTCACTTGAAGGAAGTCCCGTCTTCGCTGCCTTGCCTCGCCTCTTCTGCCAACTTGTTAGTTTTTGCCTGTAGATCTTCAGGTTTGTGTGACATCAGACACAAGTCATCACTGGTGAAATCCAAATCTTCTAGGCTTTTTGCCGCGGTCCAGTGTATCCCCCTCTTCTCACAGCTGCCCACTGTTTGGTGCATGATCCGGTCGACCACAATCAGGAATGTCATGGGGGATAGTAGGCAACCTTGTTTCACTCCTCTCTTCACTTCAAAAGCATCACTGAGCTTCCCATTGTGAATTACTTGGCATATGGCATCTTCATATAGTTGTTGAATGAGGCTGATAAAGGTTTGCGGTACTCCGTAGTAATGAAGCAGTTTCCAAATTACCTCTCGGTCGACGCTGTCAAAGGCCTTCTCAAAGTCGATAAAGTTGAGGTAGAGAGTTGACTGCCATTCTATACTCTGTTCTATGGTGATGCGTAGTGTGGTGTTGCAATCCGCACATGATTTATACTTCCTGATGTCTGCCTATTCCGGTCGCAGTTTTGAATCCAGTGCATCCTTAAGCCTCTCCAGGATGATGCGGCTTAATATTTTGCTTGCTTTGGGTGGACAGGAGAGTGATTCCACGTCAGTTCTTGCAAACACTGAGGTCTCCCTTCTTCGGGAGTTTGACAAGATAACCCTTCTTCCAATCAATTGACAGGTACCTTCCCTTCCTTCCACACCTTCTGCAATAGGGGTGTGGGCATGTCCGCTGCTGATGTCCCTGCGTCTGTTCCAGTGCTTCTGGCGGGATTCCATCTGGTCCCCCTGCTCTCTGGTATATCATTAGCCTTATGGCGTTCAGGACTTCACTCCTGCTTCTGTCGGAGGGCTCGTGTTCACTGGTATTCTATGGCTGGGCCGCATATGGTATTTCTGGAGGACTCGCATGTAGTGGTGGATTCAAGAGCTTCCTTAAGTGGTCGACCCATTGTTTCCTTAGGTTCTCTTCTTTGGTAATAAAATTTCCTACATCATCTTTTATTGGTTTCATCTGTGTTGATCTCTTCCATCCCGGATAGTAACCTGGTTATTCTATACAATGTTGTCAGGTGTCTCCTACCTGCAGCCTGTTCTGCTTCACTTGCCCGTGTGTCGTGGAAGTGTCTTTTGTCTTTGCTCGCACTCTTCTTCACTTCTTTGTCCAGTGTAGTGTTTTATACATTGTACTCAGTTCCTCTTCTCGTTTTTCACCCCTGCAGTGCACTGGTTTATCTTGTGTTTCACCATCCTCCTCTCCTCTATCAGCTTCCATGTGTCCATTGAGATCCATTCCTTATCTTCTTTCTTCTTCATTCGCAATGCAGTTATGCAGGTTTCTTTTCACATAGCTTTCAAAGAGTTCCAATGCTCATCCACACAGGTTTCTTCAGGGATGTTGCCTAATATCTCCCATTTTGTCTTGATGGCTGACGTGAAGATGTTCTCTGTAGTTTCGTCCTTCAGTTTGTGTTTTGGGTGTTAAACTTGAACTGTGGTCTATCACCAACTTCTTTCAAGGCTTTTAACTTGATTTGGAAGGTTCCCTACACTAGATAGTTGTGTGAGTGGTGTGAAGCTACATCTGCTCCGCTTCTTGATATGATCTTGTGTCCAGTAGGCTGCATCTCCGCTTTCTTGAGATTGAGATGAAGTCGATCTGATTTTATTGATGTGTGTCCATCTGGAGTTTGCGTAATAATCCTCATAAAGTTGATATGCTTAGTCAGAAACGTGTCTGGATATCCATTCTTACTAAGCAGATGGCGGATGTTTATACACCTCTCCTTTATAGTATCATGTGAGCAAACAGCCGTGGCACGGTATTCTAGGCATTTCACCGGGTTATTTTTGTACTAGAGGTGTACGGCACTGAAGAAGTGTGTGACCTTCTGATGTTGGTCTTCCATGTATACTTCGTTTCGGAGTTGCATCTGACCTTCTTACTGACAGAACATCAAGAGATGGGATACTGTCATTTTTCTCCTCTTCTATTGTGAAGTTGATTCGTGTGTGAATACCATTGAATTTACTGAGAACAGTATTCTTATGAACCTCACTTTTGAGAACTATAAAGGTATCATCCATGTAACGATAAAATAACTCGAACAATCTGATCACACACACACACACACAGTACTGAGGTGAGAATTCATAATGAGATAAGGGATGAGAATATGAAAAGAGGTCAAGTAGGAAAACTCAATTAAAGGCCAAATTAAGAAAAATCAATAGAGCGAAAATAATACTATATCAAACTTGGTTTCTAGTTGGAATTCACTAAAGGAGAGTTAAAGGTGATAGGAAATTATGTTCGATCACAGTGTTGGTTCATACTTTCTAATAGTTAAAAGGCCGGCACGTCTTGTAAATACATGTAAATGAAGTAGAAACGTCAATCCTATGACCTGTCTGAACTGTATGCTTCGTGATCGAAGAAATTTGACGTATGTAACCAACGTGTATGCCTTCAGGTGGTTCGATTTGTTTCTCAAACCACTTTGGAATATGCTCCAAGATGCTCACTCGTATGCACCTATAATTTCTCCTTATGTATGCCTCACCACATATACATCTGAATGCATAAGTGTAGTCGGATGCGATATTGTCGTTCACACATTGTAAGGGTTTGGGGGAGACTACAGGCTTGGAGGTTTCCTCTGGTCAGAGCCTAGCTACATGTACGTGCCTCTAACAGCAGCCATGGAAGATGAAAGAGGAAGAGTGACTGGAACTCTGTTGGAGAATAACTACCCGACAAAATGAATTTGCAAGGGTAAAAAACCAGAGTGCCGATACCTACTCTTCACTTTGTCGCGAAGAAAGATGTCTTCATCGGTCTTCTATACAAAAGTGACTCTCTTAGCGTAACCTTTAGGTAGAAACATAACGCTACGGTTAGAATGACATACTGTGCAGCTACGGTCTGACTAGAGGAAACCTACAAGCCTGTAATCTCCCCCAAACCCTTACAATGTGTGAACGATGATGCCACATCCCATTATATATATCAATTCAAATGTAAATGTGAGCATCTTGGAGCATATTCCAAAGTGGTTTCAGGAACAAATCGAACCACCTGAAGGCATACACGTTGGTTACACACGTCAAATTTCTTCGATCACGAAACATATAGTTCAGTGATCAGATTGTTTGAACTGTGTTGCAGAAATGAACTATGCAAATAAATTATTTGTCGAAAATGAACACTGACATTTACTGAGAAGATAGAATCTAGCCTCTGAATATCAAAAATTATTCTACAAAGTAGCGTTGAATAAACCTACAAATATTTCCCACGGCAAGTTTATCTGTTTGATAACAGTAAAGACTGTGAGACGATAAACCAAAAACAAGACACATCATTATCAAGGTGTATATGGACCTGAATGAATAACTGAAATGAAAGGAAATCGATAATGATGTAGTGTCACTCTTTTTTTCTCCACTTGTTCTTTGCATTCTTCCGTGATTTATGGCAAGTTGAACCAGTGTACTTGTCTGAGAGGTTCTACTTTGATTTTGTCTGTCTCTCTGTCACTGCAGTTGTCGCCCACTATCTGTACGAATAATTTCTATTGGAAATGAATTCGAAGATAGGAAATCCTACTTATTTCCTCATACTTTGTGGTTGTTTTTTCAGTTGCTTTAAAATTTATTGGATCTTCCCCTTCCTGAATGTCCTTCATTGTGAGATAGTGAATTTATGCCTGCGATTTCCTAAACTACAGTATAAAATGTCTACTAATATTATTTTCAAATTAGTAGTTAGTTATGTGTTGTTTCAGTAGTTTGTAGGTCGTTTTCGGCGATTATCTGTGCAGTTTCCTCTCTACCAGTAAGACTTTACTACGGAAGTCAGATGGTTTTCAGACCGTTTTTTCTACCTTTTTATAAGTTCCTATGTGCAGTAAGTAGTAGGATAGTGATGATTAGATTTTGCGCCAATGACCACAAAAATTTGCATTTAGTCTTTACATTAAATATGTGAAATCCAACTAGAATAGAATTGTTCAAATCCGGTCTTAACCCTTGTGCTTTCAAAAAACTTTTGGGGGTTTCCTGGCTAGAGTAAATCAACTGGAAACCCTTTTCGTCCTCGGTTTTGTGCTTCTTGGGACCTGTCAGCAAGGTGTATCTACAACTTTAAGGGAACTAACCTTCCCTATGAGATTCGAATCTGATCTCAGCGATGTTACCACTGGGCTATTCAGGCCGTTACTGACCTCTTTTAGGACTGCTTGAATTAGATACCTTGACTGGTCGCTGAAGAGTAACGAATCCCATATTGTCTAGTCCTGAGTACTAACCGAATTTTATCGATCATTTTGCAGTGTGACCATCAAATTCGGAGGCTCAACATCGCAGTAAACTCTAACGGATGTTTATTGGTTAATTGCAGACAGTCAGCAAGAACCACCCCTTAACACCTAGTTTTCATGTTTGTTGCCCCTCGTCAACAAGACATACCTGTAATCTCGATGGAACTGATGTCCACCCTAAGATTCGAGCCCAGTGTTGCAATCAATGACACTGTCACCGAGCTATTCGGTTAACTATTTATCTCCTATGAGACTGCCTGGATTAGAGACACTGACTGGTCACTGGATAGCTGACTGGAGTCTATTGATCATTTTTGCAAAGTGTCCACAAACCTAGGAAGCTCAACATCGTAATGCACTATGTTGGAAATTAGTTGGTTAGAGGCAGCTATCACTACGTTGGAAACGGGAATAGCTCAGTGGTAATATCGCTAACTGCAACACTGGTCGACATGACTTTTAATCTTAGATAGGACATCAGTTCCTTTGAAGTTGTGGATACGCTTTACTGACAAGTGCCAACAAGCACGAACCCTGGGTTGAGCAGATCTTCTTATCGATTACCTCCAACCAACCAACTAAGTTCGATCAAAGTGCAACACAATGGTGATTTTCATGGGTTAGTGACTACATTGCAAAATAATCTACAGAATTGATTCGGCACCCTACATTGACTGAACAGTTTACTAAAAGTTTTCCACTGAATATGTTACATCAAGTTATTCCATTTCAATTTGTTTTATTTTATCTTCTAATTATATTCAAGCTTAGGTTTAACAACTCTGTCAACTAGCCTGTTTGTCAAGTTATTGACAAAATGAAGAAACTGACATAAAAGTAGGTGGGGACGGACTTTTCAGTGCACAGAAATACATTGTATTTCTACACCTCGGATGCTTAGTTCGGATCGTTTCCCAGACAACACCAGACGCCAACTTTACACCAACTCGCTGTTTCACATTAGTACCTGTTGACATTATTATTAACATTATTCAGATACAATTATCATTTTACCATTTGTTGGTAATGCTTGTTATTCTCCGTTGTTTTACTGGATCGAATTGTTTGACGTCTCTTGGCATATGGAGCTTCCATTTTAATGCCTCGATATTACCTAAATATCAGTTAGGATAATTTACTTGGTGGTGGCTAGGAGGGGAATCCAAGACGCGCGTTTCGTCCTATTTTGCGACTCTAACAGATGAAGCACGCGTCCTGTATTCCTCTACTAGCCACAACCAAGCAAATCACCATAATTAATATTCAGGCAATATGGGGCACCCGAGCAGGAGCCTCATATGCCAATAAAGGTCGAACAATTCGATCCAGTAAAACAACGGAGAATAACTAGTACCCTTCGTACAGGAAGTGGCTATCGTGCCTGCCTGGCCTAGTGGATAACGCCTTGGCATTTGAAGCGTTGAGTACGAGGTTCGAGTTCCAGTGGGAACAACATCAAGCACATCCGGCTCAGGAGTACCAAATAGGACGAAACACGCGTCCTGGATTCCTCTGCTAGCTACAACCAAGCAAATCATAATATTATTAATAATGGATAGTGACTTGTATTACAAGTGGTAACACGAACACTATATCCATCGCACAAGGAGTGGCTATTGTGGCTCAGTGGTCTAGTGGATAGCGTTCTAACGTTTGAAGCGATCAGTCCTGAGTTCGAGTCCCGGTGAAAACAATATCACCCACTAGGAAGCAGGTGCATCCAGGAGACGAGTCCCAAATAGGACATAACGTGCGCCTTGGATTCCGCTGCTGACCACTACCCATCGTTAATATGTATATGATTAAAACAGGTAATATCGAGGTTTCCGCGCAGGAGCCCATATGCCAATAGAGACCGATCATGTCAGGTCCAGTCAATAACAGGATAATAACACTAGGACAATATTATTAGTTTTACACCCCTCTTTATTCACACCACAACCAATAGTCATTTTCAACCATGAAGTAACACTTCACATTTGTTATTCTCTATTTCCCTATAGTATTCACGTGATTTTCATCCCACCTGAAGTAGTTTACTTGTGAATTGTTTCTTTGGCTTTCAGATCCCTAATTGCAATCTGCTCAACATTTTCAAGAAAGCAAACAGTAAAGACTCCACATTTTTCACTTATCAATATCAATAGATAGAAAACATTCTAACTAGTTAACTGTGCTGCCTATTAGCTTAATTTAGACCGAACTTAGAAGGGTTGCACCCGGATTGATTGAGCCCAAAGATCGTAATTATTATTCGAACCACCCGAAAACTAGTCAGTTCATTATTAAAATTCTCACTTTTTTTGGCCAACAAATTAATTTATCAAATTGCATAATTTTGTTAAACACCATGATCAATATTGCTTTGTCATATCAGTCTATGGCAACTGATTGATTTCAAAGAGTATTCATCACTGTTCGAAGAAGTTTAAAAAACTGGGAGTACTAGTAAGTTGTCTCGTTCTGGTTTTTTGAAACCCCTCAGCAATACGTATCCACTGACTTTTTAAGCAGTCGATTATAATCAATTTTGATGGTGAGAATAAATAATAGTATTGGGAGATATATTAGTTATTTTCATAGCAAAAGGGATATAGATGTCACTATTCAATCATCATAAATACCTTATCATATTAATGATGAATAGGGGCTAGAAGCAGCATTCTATTTAGTGCTCATCAGCTGAATCTGCATGTCTTCTAATGAGAGATGTTGTTACCAGTAAAGCTGGAATTTACAACCAATCGTTCCAGATACCACTGGGTCACTGAATCATAATAGCCACTCTTTGTGTTATGAGATTTTCCACCAAATACTTTAAGGTTCAGTCGCTCGATTGGTATATAACATAAAAGCTACATTGTGCATAAGATATTAAGCATGTACTATTGATGAATTCCGAAGTTGAACAAAACAGTTATTGAATGTTAATCTAATAGTTTTATGACAAGGGAAATCATTAAAATGAAGTTTAAACATAAATTAACCTCATCAAATCTACTATATGGTTATTATTCTTTGGTTTATTTTTAGATTTAATGTATGGTTTATCAAACCATCAACTATCATCATATCTTTTAGTACACCCTCAATATTGTTTACAAAAAGCGCTTTATCAATTATTTCATCATCTTGAACATCATAATTCCAATCAACAACAACAACACCATCATCATCATTGTAATGATACTCTACTAAACTTTAAATTATCCAATGCCAGTGGTCATCGTGCTTCATATCCAAATAATTCTCCAAAAATGCTTATTGAAAAAGAGACGACAACAGGTGTTAATTTTACCCGACAATCATCTACTTTATTTCCAACTCATTCCAATCATTCATCATCAGAAGTGAGTGTTTCTCATGAGAATGATGTTTCTTTTGTTAAGCTCAGTCCAGTTCATAATCCTACTCCACAAAGTACTTCAACAGATCATCCAATGTCTAATGGTAAAAATAATCATAATTCATCACTTAACTCATCATCATCATCATCACCACTACTACATTTTCAAAGAGTATCATCTAAGTGTTGTCCTCATTCGAATCCCTCTTCATTGTACACGTCGCTTGTATCTCACCTACTTGTGGTTGATCATCATAGTGGAAATGCACTTGGCCTTTTAGGTGCTGATCGTTTATTGGCATATTTACGCCTACGAGTGGATGAATTACCGTGTACAGGTCGAATGAATGTAAGTTTTACATTTATAAGTGTATATTTTATTATGATAAATTTATATTCCAGGTTGGTATTCATCATGAATACACATCAGTCGGAGAGACATTGAAAACCTGAGAGTACTGGCCAGTGATTTCGTCGTAACGCTGTACTTCTGAACAGTGTGCACCCATGACCCCTCCAGGGGTCGAATCTGGGACCTACATCTTCTGTGGCCAGCACGTTACCATTGAGCCACTGAGTAGGATTTGGATGGTCCATTTTTCCTACTTCATGATATAGCGTGACCTCCATTTAATTTCTTCGTTCAGTAACTATCTTCATATCCTACTTGGTTGGCCCCACCGGTCACGATTTCTTAGTAGAACTTCGAGAATCACCTCTCGAAGCGAGTCACTAATGAGCACTGGATTAATTCAATTTAGAGATTTGTGGGAATTTATGTATTTACTTTTGGTTGGTATTCCTCAATTGTTCCAACTGCAGGTGGCATAGACGAGAACGTCAAATCCAGCCAGGATCGGAAAGCAAGACAGGCTTTCATTATTCTGAAATCAGTGTGGAGATCTACTACACTCAGCATAAAGCGTGAACAATATCCGGATTTTCAACACTATCAATGTCAGTGAAGTCAGTGCTTCTATGTGATGGTTGAGAGACTTGGAGCATCACGAAAAGCATTTCCAACAAACTACAGATGTTCATCAACAACTGCCTATGCTCTCTACTGAAGATCAGATGGCCAGAAATAATAAGCAACAAGGAACTCACTCTGTGAGTGAACCAACTAAGCAAGAACCTATTGCTGAACAAATATGCAGTGGAAGGAAGTGGAGATGGATTGAATTGGCATACACCGAGAAAGCCGACTGGGGATATCATGCGCCAGGCCAGGCCGTCGAGTGAAATCCAAAAGGGAAACGACAATTTGGGTGTCCGAGGCGAGGGTGATATGGAGATCAAGTGATGAAGAAATGAAAGCTTGTGGACAGTCATGAAGCGTGTTTGGAAAAACTACAGAGAAGAAGGTACAAAGGAGGTGTGCTACTGAAGCCCTATGTTACACCAGGAACCCAAGGAAAAAATAATGATGAATAATTTTTCAATTGCCGACTACGGAACCTGCGGGTCTAGGTTTCGATCCAAACCTTCACAGGGTCATGGCTGTGCACGTCTGAGGAGTCCCATAACAGGACGAAACGTCTGTACAGTGCTCCCATATCTTCAGTGTTTCTCCAACTGACGTCAGTCGATGATGGATACCAACTTAGAATCAATAAGTAAGTCCCCACAAACCTACAAAATAAAAATTCTATCTATTTTCATTACGACTGTTTATTTCATGGGAGACAAGTTACTACTTATTAGGTTGGTAAGTAGTATCGAGACGGTGGATTTCTCTTTTCTTTGAGATACATCAGATTGCAGTGCTGAAGGAAGATACTATGGGATGTAAGTAGCTCGGAGTTATTGATTAGATTGTTTACAATTCAGATTTACGTTTTTCGAAGTCTTTTTTACCTTCGTTTAACTTGACTTAAACTTTGACAATTATTATCTGCAGACGGTATTATTTTAGTGCTCACTTGTTTCACTAGTGAAGTGTTTACATTTTTACTGGATGAAGTTATGAAGGAGGAGCAGCCAAGATGGCTTAGGCATATGCAACATGGATTGACCCATGATTTACTCTAGTCCACAGTGTTAGTTCCAGCATGACTAGGAAGAAAAAATTTAAGGGTGATCTAACACGACATGGCATCAACCCACTGACATCAAACCAGCGATGCATACATACAAGTCATATTGCTACAAGTAATCATTGGCTGAGGTGTAGCAACCTTATTACAGTGCCTACTTTGACTCCAGGCACCCTTTAATACAGACACACCGGTCGCAGGAAACAGGCGACAGGTCAGGAAAGCACCAGGTTGATATTTTGGGAGATAGGCTTTTATCTGAATTTTATACCAATTTTCTTCATGAAGATACCTGTTGTCATATTCAATCTGATGTAGAAACAGCGAGGAACACAGCTGCCGACCTACATCCAATCTGAACAAATTGATGTAAGAAGATTGATTCCAGCTGCTTGTCAGTGATTGAAATGAGGAGTGAAAGCAGCTCAATTGATGGTCTTCTTAATGATCACGTGCAGTGATGGGTCGCGAAAGCGAGCGAAACAGATGGAGGAGGTATCGGCATTAGGTAACACCTTGCCGGCAATTATTCAGGCTTGTTAAGGATACTGGCACGAAGAGGACGGTAGTCAGCGAGACCATCACTGAGAAACTTGAGACCCTGGCAACCTTTAACGACGCGTGACTAGAAGGTTGTGTACAACGCCTTGGGGCTCAATTCAACTGGTCGACAGCAACGTTTCAGTTGCCCAGCATCCAGTGCATACCCGAATGGCACGCTGATGTCGGTCTTTCAACTCTCCTTAAAGTCTAAACGATGCTTAGGTGCTGGACATAATGGTTTGACACTAGAAAATTTCTAATATTGGAGGTAGTAAATTACTGAGTAGAATACTAAACTTATCAGATAGCGCACGGGAATCAGAGTTAGTCCCGTCAGACTGGTCTACTTCACTGACTATTCCAGTTTATAAGAGAGGGGAAAAGTTTTTCTGTGATGATAATTGGGGAATCAGTTCAACCAACATCGTACCCAAGGTTCTGATGTCCATAGTTATCCGTTGCTTAATTAGAGCTTGAGAAAGTAAACCAGGTTGGTTTCAGATCCGAATGGGGATATATCGATCAGATCTCCACTCTTTATCAGATCATAGATCTCAGGTACAATACGTACCGGCCAGTGGCCGACACTTTCCATGTTTCTTGTCCTGAGGGTGTCACTTGACTCTGTCTACCATCTCTTTGACCTGCAGTACGCTAATGACTTTGTCTTATTAGGGGAAGACTGTGACAAGATGCTGTGTCTTTTGAACACCATAAACAGAAATTTGGGTGTTTGACATGCTTTTCTCAACTGTCAAATAAACGATGAAGCTTTTAGACTGGTTTCTAACTACTTCCAGTGATGATATGATATTTTAATGATATTTCGTGAAATGGTTCGAATGTGCTGACCGTTTCGCACAGATAGAGAGACGTATCAACTTGTAGAACCTGGGTGCACAATAAGTCACAGCTTGGATACAGAAGACCAGTTTGGTATTTGCTAACTTGCTTCATCTATTGTCTAAGGTACTTCTTAGTGATCATTGTAGCATGCTGTTGAGGAATGTTCATAACATGCTGTCTAGCTTCATTTTAAAGGTTTATTTTATCACTTTAGAACAGAAAACTATTTCTCCTGTAAGGGGCTAGTTAAATTCAAACTGTAACTGGAAATGGCTTTATGCTGAATAGTATACTCTTCTTTGATACTGGGTGATGAAATGGAAATTTAGGTTTCCAACGCGGTGTTCTACCACAACTGAGTTACAAGACCTGACTACTGACCAGATTTTTATTTCACTTCAGTCCTCTTTGTATGCTTAAAAGGAATTGTCCTTGTTATTGCCATGTTGAATTGTACGTACACTGCACGGGTATAGTTTCGATAGGTAGTTTATCTGCGAATAAAGAAGATATAATTATTGATTATACTTCGTGTTACGACGTGGAGTTGTGAGAATGAACGACTGAAAGTCGATGATTGAGACGGTTCAACCCGACGGATTTGCAGAGGGAAATCAAATGAATTGTTAATCAAATTTAGTTTATATTGTCATGAACTGAAAATGTTTATTAGTAAAAACAGACCCTATTTAGAAAGTTTAAAGTATCCTTGAAAGATAAATATTTATTACGTTGTAAAGGGTTGGGAGCCAATGAGAACACTTACGGGTTACATGAAATGTAACCTACGTTGGGAGTAAAAAGAGCGCGATAAAAGCCAATTGAAAATCTGCGAATGGTATGTATAAAATATGAGGGATATAGGCATTCCAGACACCAAGTCCTTCGAAAATGACTATAGCGTGTTGGTCAAGGTTTTGGGACTGATCATATCATATTCTCGGAGTAATAAACTCTCCCATCTGCCAGCTTTGGTCTTCTCTCTGTTCGTCCCGGGTTTGCAGTCAGTGGCTCTTGAATACTAAGATAGCTGTTAGCTAAGCGCGCGTATTATATTCATTTCGGAATATATAACTATTAGCGTTCGAAAATATAACAGTTTCAATATTCAGAATATTTATCAGTAGAACGTTTCACCTATATGAAATACTTTGACGAAGCAAAAACTCATTAAGGATGCCAATGTAAGCTGATGATAGACTATACTTCTGATTGGCATGTATGTGAAGTTTGTATCATTTTGTAACTGTGACAAATGAATGTTTATTCAGTCTCATTGATTACTGCACAACTGAAGTGGATTGAACTTGTTCGCTTGCCTCATAGTGTTGGTTTACTTAACAAAGACTATATGATATAAGTGAAAATCTTGGGCACTGTGGTAGAATGTAATTCCATATTAGATTTGTTTATTTGATATAAAGTGCACAGTGATACAGTATTATTTACTTGATTACGTTTCGAGCATAAATTATTGCTCATAATCATATCAATGTAATCACACTTCTTTCGATGTCTGATTTTATAGTCCTGTCACCTGATCTCTCTTTGTTTTTTGATTGGTAGTAAAGTTTTCCATATCTCTGGTATAGGTGTTGCGTCATTCCTATTACATATGTTGGGTGTGGATTCGATGAACAAAGATTCAGTAATTAATCTCTCTCTCCACCTAACTATAAATCAGATATCGAAAGAAGTGTGATTACATTGATATGATTATGAGCAATAATTTATGCTGAAAACGTAATAAAGACTATATGACTTTTTCAGTCATTCAGTTCGGTTATTAAGAGTTTCTGTTAGTGTATCTTATGAGTAATTCAAATGATGTCATATTCGTTCTAGGCAAGGGATGAAACGCAGAAGCATGTTTATTATGAAATTTTACATACTACTCATAAAATGTCGTAAGCCTTTCACTGAAATATTCATTTGCACAGTTTTCTGCTTCTTCTATATCGCTTTGCTCTTCATACACCCACGTTATCTCTTGCATTTCTCTGTGCTTAATATTTACCCATCTGTCGTAATTCCCTATGACTTCTGTCGACCTCTCAATACATATTACTTATATGCATTCTTATCAGTATCGACTACACTACTATTCCTTCTCCTTAGGTTCCTATCGGTTCTGTTTATGGTCTTCGTTGGAGTGAACGTTATTCATCCATAAAAACGCCGAATGATTCAAAACCATGCACGCGACTAATTCCATCACCACCACCAGCAACAACAACACCGACAGTCACTACAATAAAGGTGAACGGCTACAGTTTATCACAAAAGGAAATACCTGTTATTCATCCCAATGACTGTGTTCGTGATGTTTTACACGTGTTGGCAATCTGGTTACCACAATTACCATGCCTTCCAGTGATACAATTCATGGAGAATAATCAAATGCGACCTATTGATTTCATTGGTCTCATTTCATCCAGTGATATATTGGTAAGTATTGTCGCTATGATGATTTACAATTGCCTATTTAAGGTAATGCTTACAAAATGTCTTAACGAATACCATTTTTATATGACATCATATCCACTTTACTCCTGTAAAAATGACTATCTGTAGTGTCGTGCTGGTCGATAAACTTTTTTCAAGCTCTGGTCATATAATAACTGATCGCTCCTTTCGAACCACTTAGCCGTAATTTTAACGTGTCAAAGACTTCTATGAAAGAAATTGTCTTCCAAGACAAATATTATTAATGTTTTAGCTCATAAGTCTTCGTCGTTGAATGGACCATCTTGATCGAGCACTGTTAGCATATGGGACTATGTCCGGATATCTGGGTATTGCCGGGATTTACAGTTTCTAGATGATGATGATGGGTAGTGGCTAGTAGCAGGATCCAGAAAGGTTCATTTCGTCTTATTTAGGACTCTTCAGCCGGATGTACTTGCCTCTTAATCAGTGATGTTGTTCCCACCAGGTCTCGAACTTCAAAGCGATCGGTTCAAACTCCGAAGCATTAACCATTATGCCACTCACCCACAATAGCCACTACTTCTGCGGTGGATGTAGTATAGTTTAGTCTCAAATAGAATGAGACGCACCTCCTGGATTCCATTGCTAGCCACTATCCATCGTTAGTATATAAATATTAATCATTTACGAGAATATACTCAGTTGGATTTTGTTTGAACTGGTCCGAGTTATATATGTTGCCAAGTTATTCTGCATCATATCAACAGTGCACAAATTTAATTACAGATATATGATCTTATTATGGAAGCGTGATTCTTCTCTTTCTGTGCGTGTCAAAGAAAAGTCTCTTGGCAACTTTTTTCGACTAGAACTGTTTCTCCGTCAGTCAGCCAATGAGAACACCGTATGCTGAGTTGCACGATATCATGGCATTTTATCAGGTTGACATCATTCGCATACAATGCAAATGAATGAATGAATAAATTGATGAATCAGTAACTATTGTTCAAAAATCCCAACATAATTTATTTGAAAAATCTCGAGAAACTAATTCGTAGCTCAGTTGGTAGAGCATCAGGTCGAAAATCCAGTGCTCGCTGGTTCGAATACGACCGTGGTCCAAATTTTCATTTCATCTTCATCAGTATTAGTCCGCCGAAACAGGATTATCTCAGATAGTCAAAATGAAAATGAGTTCGTAATTAGGCGATCAAAAAGAACACAGCATAACATAAAGGGAGCTAGTAATGATGGATAGTGGCTTATAGTGAAATCCGGGACACGCTTTTCGTTCACTGTAGCTTCATCTCAGTGAGTGATGTTTCTGCTGAAACTTGAGAGCACTATCCATCACTTCAAAAACCAGAGGGTTTGGATTAACTTAGAAGAGAGTTTATTGTGGCTAGACAACGACATGGCACGACCAGTCGATGAAGTCCGTGACTGTTGGTCTGAGCAGTGTTGGGAGATGTAGATTACCTGCTCGAGATCCCTGAGACGATAGAAATCAGTGGTTGAGGACTGTTGGTCACATGGCTGAGAATCCATCTCAGTGTCGCAAATAAATCGACTCATTCATGTCTTCTAAATCTTGGATATTTACACCAACTTTCATCTTCAGGTTGTTTATTCTGTCACACAAGTTTGCTCAGTTTGGTATCACTTTTTCCCATCCATCTGTTATTTGTATACTTATGTGAAGCATGGCAAGTTGAACCGATGAACTTGTATACGACGTTGTCTGTCTGTCTCCCGGTCTGACAGTGGTCACCTATGGACGAAACAGTTTGTTTGTTTATTTATCCAGAACTTCAAACTTGTGCTACAGAGAAGTGTCACCTAAAGACGCCTCTTGGGTTCCTGATTCAGTGCTGGTATCCACAACTGTGGTGCAGACAACACCTTTACTTCAATCTCACACGCCTACTCGTCTTTTCGATTTTCCGTATATCCTTCAAGACTATTCAAGTCGTTAAATTCACAGTTAATCATCGCTATCTTATGATGATACACTTCGACTGGGATAAATAGCTCGTTTTGCTGCTAATAGACGGGAATGATGAAATGGGGGTGGAGATGTACAGTGTCTTACATGGATATGAAAACAAGGTAGGCCAATCGATGCTAGAAATGAACTTGAGGAGACAGTTACTAACAGTGTATATGAGTCTTCAGTCCACTGTTTCAAAATTAGTCAATGTTTCACAACTTCTCACCTTAGTCATCAATCATCCTTCGACTTTCGTGTATATTATGGTTGATATCATTTAATTTGTGCACATTGGTTAGTCTCTGTAGGGTAACCAGTTTTATGTTATCTGGTCCTCTGTGTGGTGATCAAATTCTATCAATCTTTATGCAATGTGGTCACTAGGATAGGCGGGTCAACATCGCAATGCATTTATAGATGTTAGTTGAAGGGAGGTAATCGACAGGAAGCCGTGCTCGAACGAGATTTCGTGCTTTCTAGCACTCGTTGGCGAGACGTTTCAGTAACCTCAGTGGAACTGATATCCCACCCGAGATTAGAACCGAAGACCCGAATAGCTCAGTAGTAACATCGTTGAATGCAGCACTGGGTGACACGAGTTCGAATCTCAGGCAGGAAATTAATCCTATCGAGACACACAATAGCTGTATTTCTCGAACTGAAGGCGGCATTCGACTTCGTTGATCGAAAAGTCTTATGGCAGTATCTCACTGAAAGGCATGCCGAGCAAGTAAATCACTTTATTGAAGGTTCTCTACTCGAACACTTGTGGGCGTGTTAGAAGCTGTAGTAAGATGTCCGGGGAGCTGTGCTCGTTGAGTGCTGTCCGTCAAGAGTGCCCACTGTCTCCATTCTTATTGAATTTTATCATAGATATTCTTATGGAGGTCTCTTTCTCATCGTCTGACTAGACAGAGGTTGACCTAATCACAGGAGAGTAAGTGTAGTGGTTGAGTGTGTCGACCATATACTTCACTTACCTGGGGAGTGTGATCAGCCCTGGTGGCTCAATGGCCATGAAATCTCTGCACGCATACAAAAGGCTCGATTGGCTTTCGCTACCTTCCGCCATCTGTGGCACCACCGTGACATCCGATTGTCTACTAAACGTAGCATCTACTGCACAGTAGTCCGGTCTGTTCTACTGTTTGGCTGTGAAACATGGCCATTGAAGGTGGTTAACATGAGAAGGTTTCAGGTTTTTTGACCACCGTTACCTTCTTGGTATAGGCCGTATTCCATGGTGTCACCACACCATGTGAGTACCGCACAAGTCAGGTGTAGAGTTTTAGTGAGGTAGAAGAGGTAAGTGAGTTGACGAGATGGTTGGGACATGTGTTAGGCATGCCTAGTGGCCGTTTACCTCGCCACACAATGTTGGCCGAAATAGGTTCAGGATTGACAAAGGCCCGAGGTAGCCAGACCAAAACATGGCACCAATGTTTGAAGTGTTTGACTGTTGGTTTGAGGCATGTGTGGCGATGCAGACTGAGTGGTTGGTGTCCTCGGGACAAGAGAAACCAGTGGTTGGAGACTGAGTGTAGGTGATATGGGTGAGAAGGTATGTCAGTGGCTCAGATGTATCCCCACACACATTATCCTCATCTTAACGACGCTATACCGAACCTGACCATTTTCTCATTCTTCCTTTCTCTTGTTTAGTACTCTGTATTTCTTTTGACTAAACTTTCTTTTCTTCATCTTCCACTTTACCGTCTTGTTACCTGATGTGCGGATATGATTTGTGGAAAGTTGGACGTTACGCAGTACTGCCCGGTCGTATGTTAATTTGGATGGGTCTATCGAGACTGCAGAAACGCCTTCTTGGCATAAAGCATGAAGCATATATGTAACGGGGCTTTTCCTCGATTGCCTCCATTCAACTAACATTTAATTTATACGTAAATATTTATTTATTCACCGTGCAGTGCAGTCATAATTACTATTGTTATTGTTTTCGTCTTTTACGTAATCTTTTCTAGAACTTTATTATCTGCTCTACACCGGACACTGCATTAGACGAACCAATTAGCAAAATTATGCAGAAGAAATCTTTGGTAATTTTATTGATGATGACGTTTTTTTGCCAATTTTCATGTGTTTATTACACAACTTGCATGTTTAGAATAAACGTTTATCTTCGATGGTTATTTTCATCTGTCAACTGTGGGACGTTTCTGTTACATCTGGTTCAACTGTGCGCGCAATACATGATCTCTCAGGACATTGGGAATTCTTGATAATACTGGAAACTAGAAAGCATTCGACAGTTATATCCCACTTGTTTCGTCGTCAAAAAAGAGTTTACCGTCCACTTAGTTCTTTCATTTAAACACTCTATGTTCGTTCAGCTGTTCGCGGTTACGGTTTCATATCCTCCTAAATATTATATTCCCAAGGTCGGGAAACCCTTAGTCTCCGTGACCTCTTCAACTCAGTCGTTGTGGTACAAATGTTAGATTTATTTACTTGTCATGGCACAGTGATACAATATCGCCTACTTGATGGTGTTTCAAGTCTAAATTAGTATCCCTAATAGTCACATCAGTGTAATCGCACACCATTCAACATCTGATTATTAACGTCTTTGCTTTTAGTGGGTGTTGATTTGGTGAAGAAAGATTCAGTAGTCAGTCTCTCCTTCCCTCCATGTATCGAACTTCAGTAGTATGGCTTTTCCCACCCTACTGTATGGTTGCCTGTTAATTCATGGATTGGGAAACCGAGTGGTTTTTTCTAAACTGTTGATCTTATTGGGGTGCATAATTCTATATTTGACTGATCTCCTATGATCCAATAATCTAACTGACTCTGATTGACTAGTTTGATATGATCTCACTGCAATTCGGTAGATTAGATAACTTTGCTCAATTGGTTCTATGGGATCTCTAAACCGACAAAGCTTATCTCAGAGTGAGTTAGTGAGTTTATATGACAGAGTGATATCACCTTTGTTGAGAGTCCTACGTGTAGTTTCTGATATTCCTTGCTTGTAGGGTAATACAAGGGAGACTGTGAACTCCTTTATACTCATGTTGTCGTCATTATTCGTACTCATGTTACTGTTATTATTTCGTTTCTTATGTGTTCATACGAATTTCTTGAACTGCAGAAGATAATTGTCAATTATTAACTCTTCTTTTATGTGATTCAATTCCCTGTTTAAGTTCTAGCATTGAATAGTGAGTTTTCTGGCTCTATCATTTAAACATTCGACTAAACCTGCTTTAACTGACATTGGATGAGATGATTTGAGGTTTAGATACCTGTTGAAATGTGTCGGTTTTTTGTAGACGGTGGTATCCCAACAACTGTCTGTCTGCTGTTTTATCCTGCAATCCAACATAGGTAATTCTCCTTGTTCATTTTCTCCCACTCAGTAAGTGAATTGGATTGTGTCCACTGGAGAGTTTATGTTATGTGTGTGGAACTTGTCAATATGTTCTGATTTCAACAGAGTAGTAAATGCGTCATGGACATATCTCCACCATATTTTTTGTGCAGGGTTAAATGTTTGTAAAGCCATGTTTTCCCAACTATGTATAAATATTTATCTGCTACGATTGGGGATATTGGCGATCCCATTGCTACTCCTTCTCACCATCCATTTATTTTGTCTTGAAACTGTAAGACTGTCGAGGTCAGGTACAACTCTAAGCCTAATATCATCTCATCAATCGATATCTTAGTTCTGTGAGTAAGTTATGAGTCACTATCTAGTTGACTTCTGACTGACTACATTGTCATATTCATTGGTATGTTAGTATGAAGACTCGTCATATCGAAACCAACCATTTTCTTCATCTTCTTCTTCTATATTGTATCTCATTAACCCTTAGTTCTAACTTGTGAAAGTTTACCAGTCTGCAATTTCAACGCTTCCTAATAGGACACAATATCGATGCTAAGTACTTTGCTACCTCATATGTAAGGGTATTTTCGAACCTCTGAACTGGATTCCGATATATGTATATATATTTGCTACTAGTGGAGATATTAGTGATCCCATTGCTACTCCTTCTCACCATCCATTTATTTTGTCTTGAAACTGTAAGACTGTCGAGGTCAGGCACAACTCTAAGCCTAATATCATCTCATCAATCGATATCTTGTCTCTTTGAGTAAATTCTGAGTCGTCAATATTTAGAAATCACAAGTCTAGAATGAGAATTACTACTGAATCATCGTTCATCGAGTCAACACCCAACACATGTAATAGGAAAGACGCAACACCTATGTCAGAGAAATAGAAAATTTTACTACCTATAAAAACAAATAATATGAGGTGGGTCATGGGAATAGAAAACATAGATGTTGAAAGTTGTGTGGTTAAATTCGGTATGTGATTATGAGGAATGCTAATTTATGCTGGAAACGTGATCAGGTACATAACACTGTATCATTTTGTGCTCTATATATCAAATAAATAAATCTAATGTGGATTACATTCAACCACAGTTTTCATGTAGAATATTTGTAGCTCAGGTGGATGGTTTTGGTTGTATTGTGTTCTCTGAGCTGGGTTGTTTAATCGTGAAGCTTTCATCGTCTTTCTGGACGACATCATCAGTACTAACTTGAGTATGCAGTGAGCTGTCAATGTCTGTCTGGGAGTGATTTAGTGGCTTTTTCTGACTATGTGGTCTGTGATTGGTTGTTTCCTTCCATTGTTGTATTGTTGACTGTGTAAACTTACTTGGTGGCTGTTCCTCTGCTTCACCTCTCACCTTTCTGTCGTTTATCATTTTTCTTGTTAGTTGATAGATTGGGTCTGTGTCTACATATCTGCTGATTGCTGACTGACTGACTACCCTGAATGCCAAGCTTCTTGGAATTCTTTCATGATATTCTTTGTGTTTCCTCTCTCCGTCCAAAATTTCTACATTGTCGAAATCGAGTTTGCGTCCAGTTATCCGCGTGCATTGAAATGAGTGGCGAAATGTCGTAACGTTTAATAGCCAATTGGTGCTCATGTAGACAAAGGTGAAGAGGTCGACCACTTTGTCCAATGTAGAGTTGTCTACAGTTGATTTTGTAAATGATATTCGGTTTGTCTTCTGAGTTTGTTTTGTTTTAGTCCGCATAATAGTGTTTGCAGGGAATTCGTTGGTTTATGATCCACACGAATTCCAAGTGGTTTTAATAATCTTGTCGTGATCTCTGATGCATTCTTTACGTATGGTAGGACGATACGTTAATTGATTTCCGTCAATGACTTTGTAGTTGATGATGCACGGGATAGGGATCTTGTGATAATGTCTGGTTCGTAGCCGTTCTTCTTTAGGAGATGGACATCAAGTAATTTTCTTCATTTCTCCTTGATCTGATCCTGTGGGCTGTTGCTATTGTAGTTGAGGATTCGGCCAGTGTTTGTTGGCTTCCTGTACACTTGGGTTTCCAGCTTTCTGACCTTTGTCCCACTGACTAAAACATCCAGGAATGATAGTTGGTTGTTTGACTCTTTCTCCATTGTGAATTTGATGTCATTGAAAACGTTTTTAATCAAACTGTGAATGTTTTTTATACCATCAATAAAAAAGATTATATAGAAAACATTTACCGTTTGGTTAAAAACGTTTTCAATGAAACCAAATTTACAATGGAGAAAGTGTCAAACAACCAACTACCATTCCTATTTAGGACTCGTCAACTGAATGTACCTGAACTCCAGTGAGGCGTGTTGTTCCCAGTGAAACTCGAATCCAGTTACCTATTTTGCAATGAGTATCAGTTGTTATTTGACACTTGTAATTCTCCGTTGCTGTACTAGGCTGAATTACTCGAATTCTGTTCAGTCTCTTTTGGCGAATAACTCAGATTGCTTTTTTATTCAACAACGTAGATGTGCGAAATGAAATGGTAGTGATATGTAACTCAGAGTGATAATCGTTTGGTTTTCTGTATTTCATGTTCCTGAGTGTGTTTTATCATTAGGGTTGATGATTTCATTAACATTCACCTCACCACGCAATTGTGACTTATTGGTCTACGGTGATGACTTTAAAACACTTGGCAACGGGTATGAACTCCTGCTCCACCCAAGGAGGTATTAGTATTCGACTAATATTTTCAACCTGAGATGAATGTTTACAACTTGGGTAGCATATCCTTGACATGTGTTGAATAGGCCGACGATTGGTTGATTTTCTTGGATATAGTAATTAATCGGCAGCAGGATGGATCTATTAAACGATCTGCAGAAAATCTTCATGGACAGGATTATATTTGAAATATCATAGCTTTTGTCCAGTTCTGTACAAGTAAGCGTTCCTTAAGTGCTTGTTACCCTAGATTCTAACGAATATACAGAGAAGATACTTTGGACGAAAAGACAAGAACATTGACTTAAACACTGCTGGCAGTTGACTTTCCATCAGAATTTATTAGCCAGCATAAAGTAACCAGAGTGCCGATACCTACTTTTCACTTTGTCGCGAGGAAAGATATCTGCATACGTCTTCCATAAAAAAGTGACTCTGTTAGCGTAATCTTTAGGTAGAAACATAACGCTGCTATTCGAAGGACTTACTGTGCAGCTACGGTCTGACTAGAGGAAACTTCCAAGCCTGTAATCTCCCCCAAACCCTTACAATGTGTGAACGATGATGCCACATCCCATTATATATATCAATTCAAATGTAAATGTGAGCATCTTGGAGCATATTCCAAAGTGGTTTCAGGAACAAATCGAACCACCTGAAGGCATACACGTTGGTTACAGACGTCAAATTTCTTCGATCACGAAGCATACAGTTCAGACAGGTCATAGGATTGACGTTTCTACTTCATTTAGATGTATTTGTGTGGCCAAGGTACTTTCATATTCGACTAGGACACTTACTCGTAGGAATATGATTAGTTGAGCTTAGATAAGCTATTTGTATTTAGATTGGCTGATAAAATCATCATCACTTGTCACATAAATTCTGTTTTAAGAAACTAATCACCTTCAGGTTACGATTAAATCCAAAATGAATTTAAAATTTGCGGCGAATCAAATCCTGTAGTGACAATGTTGTGTATTATTTCAAGGAGCCTGTTTAAACATGAATTTAGTGTAAATGTTCTTATGATAATTATAATTTCCCGTTGATATACAGGGCTTAATTGCTCGACTTTCGTTGATATATGGGCTCCTATGCAGGCGCCTTGATACGCTTCGACTTTTCAATTATTCTAACCATAGCTACATATTAGATAGTTATCATTCTCCATTCTACACTTTTTTACTATATAATATTCTGTAATGCATTCATTCGGTCGACAAGTGAAGCATTTAAGTATGAATAATCACTTCTTGTTTATTTAAAAGCTAGAAAGAAAGAAGTCATTGAAATCATATTTTGAATGGTCCTCCGAAGAGCCTTCGTTCGTTCACTTTCCGTCATGAAGTAAAAATTCACTTCTGGTGCAGTTTGTCTTCACCTGAAGTGTAAAAGTTAAGTGGATACAGCTGTGGGAGTCAAGGATGTGAATTACCTTTCTTTTTTACGGAAATCCCTCTAATTGTCATCGACATTACCTTCCTGTGAGGGATTGCCTCCACATGCAGGGCATTGTAAACAAAGGCTGCCTGGGTGTGGACTCCATGCACAGAATATATGAAATGTTGCATGACAACGGCATGCTATCCATGTGCCACTATGGGGAATGGAGGTTGGTGCATCGCTTCGGAAACATACCTCACAAACTCCTCTGTAGATATAATCCTCCTCTTCATTTACATTTACATGATCCATCTCCTCAGAGTTCCTAGTGACCAACTCCATAGCCCCTCTTTGATGGTTGACACTGGCGTCCAGGTCAACGGTTAAGCTATTGTCTGGATGAGTAATGGCTGTAATAGGTGATTGCGGAATTGTTTCAAATGCAGTTATCGGTCTTCCATCGTCTGCCACCGTGGTCATACTCACAGCTGCAGCTGTCAGTTCCATTCCTTCTTCGGAGCCACCTGAAACACTGTTTCCTGCGAGATGTTCTCTACTTGCGTCTACCAGAATGGGTATCCTACCATCTAAAACTCCTCGTACAAACCGGAGGACAGTGCGGAATTGCTGTTCATCGTTGAAGAATGGTAAAACTGCTATCCAAAGTTGGGCTCGAGATGGGAGGAGGGATGCAGTTGATTGTGGAACGTAGTTTTGCACAGGTACATTGTGCAGCAACCTCGCCTCGTTAACAAGTTCACTAGTTACTAGCCGGTCCTAAGCCCGGCTAAAGAGGGAAGGTTGGGCATAGGGCTAGCAACCCTACCCCGTAAAACAAATCTAACCACTAAAGAAACTTCAAAGCACAAACAAAATATAAAAAATGAAAACAAACTTATTCCTCGCTGGAATCGGAGAGGCGAAATGACGCCAGTTGGTGAAAGCCTTCGGGAAGCCAATTGGCCGATGTGTCTTTTCTTCTCTCGATGAAAGCGAAAGTAAATGTGGGGACATGGAATGTCCGCACGATGTTTGAACCCAGCAAGGCAGTCCAGATTGCAAACGAGATGAGAAGGTATCACATTGAAGTGCTTGGAATTTGCGAAAGCAGGTGGAATGGGAGTGGACTCTCCAAACTGTCAACTGGAGAATCAATAATCTACTCCGGTCACCCAGACGACAACCACGAGCACACTGAGTTGTGGAGTGGCTATCATGATGTCCCCTTCAGGAGCATCGAAGGCTCTCATGCAGTGGGAACCAATCTCCTCCTGCAGGATCATGACAGCAAGGTTCAACTCAAAAGGAAGGAAGGTCACAATCATACAATGCTATGCACCTACAAATAATGCAGAGCAAGAGAAAAAGGAGGAATTCTACAGACAACTTCAATCAACACTGGACAAGACGTCAGTTGGCGATATCAAAATTCCAATGGGTGGGGTGACATGAATGCCAAACTGGGAGGGGACAACACAGGAAGAGAACTAACCATGGATCGAGAGGCGCTCGGTGAGGTGATGAACGAGAATGGAGAATTGTTTGCAGAATTCTGTGCATTCGACGATTTGGTGATTGGAGGCGAGGCAGTGTGTTCAGGCACAAGGATATCCACAAAGCGACATGGATTTGATTTCACCAGATGGACACACTAAAAATCAAATCGACTTTATCTCAATCTCAAGAAAGTGGAGACGCAGTCTACTTGACACAAGGTGAAGAAGAGGAGCAGATGTAGGTTCACACCACTCACTGTCTAGTGCAAGGAACCTTCCAAATCAAGTTAAAAGCCTTCAAGGAGGTTGGTGATAGACCACAGTTAAAGTACAACACTCGGAAACTGGAGGATGAAACTACAAAGTAGATCTTCACGGCAGCCATCAAGACAAAGTGGGAGATATCGAGGAACGTCCCCAAAGAAACCTGTATGGAAGAACACTGGAAGTCTTTGAAAGAGATGTGGAAAGAAACCTGCACAGCCGTATTAGGAAGGAAGAAGAAAGAAGACAAGGAATGGATCTCGATGGATAAATGGAGGCTGATAGAGTAGGGAGAGGAGGTTGGTGAAACAGAAGATAAACCAGTGCATGGATGCTCAACGACAAGGGGAACTGAGCACAATGTATAAAACACTGGACAAAGAAGTAAAGAAGAGTGCACGGAAAGACAAAAGACACTTTTACGAAACATTGGCAAGTGAAGCAGAACAGGCTGCCGACTGGCTGGTAGGAGAGACCTGACAACATTGTATCAAATAACCAGGTTGCTATCTGGGAGGAGATCAACACAGACGAAACCAATAGAAGATGATGACGGAAATTTAATTACGAAAGAAGAGAAACAAAGGAAACGACCTGCCGACCACTTCAAGAAGCTCTTGAATCGACCACCACCTGCACTTCGTCCAGAAATACTACCTTCAGCCCAGCTGCTGAACTACAAGTGAACATAAATCCTCCAGTCCAGTGTAGTGTTTTATACATTGTACTCAGTTCCTCTTGTCGTTGAGCACCCTTGCACTGGTTTATCTTCTGCTTCACCATCCTCCTCTCCCTGCTCTATCAGCCTCCATTTATCCATCGAGATCCATTCCTTGTCTTCTTTCTTCTTCCTTCCTAAGACTGCTGTGCAGGTTTCTTTCCATATCTCTTTCAAAGACTTCCAGTGTTTTCCACACAGGTTTCTTCAAGAATGTTGCTCGATATCTTCCATTTTGTCTTGATGGCTGGCTGCCGTGAAGATTTCCTTTGTAGTTTCATTCCATTCCATGTCCCCACATTTACTTTCGCTTTCATCGAGAGAAGCGGAGACATATCGGCCAATTGGCTTCCCGAAGGCTTTCACCAACTGGCGTCATTTCGCCTCTCCGATTCCAGCGAGGAATAAGTTTGTTTTCATTTTTTATATTTTGTTTGTGCTTTGAAGTTTCTTTAGTGGTTAGATTTGTTTTACGGGGTAGGGTTGCTAGCCCTATGCCCAACCTTCCCTCTTTAGCCGGGCTTAGGACCGGCTAGTAACTAGTGAACTTGTTAACGAGGCGAGGTTGCTGCACAATGTACCTGTGCAAAACTACGTTCCACAATCAACTACATCCCTCCTCCCATCTCGAGCCCAACTTTGGATAGCAGTTTTACCATTCTTCAACGATGAACAGCAATTCCGCACTGTCCTCCGGTTTGTACGAGGAGTTTTAGATGGTAGGATACCCATTCTGGTAGACGCAAGTAGAGAACATCTCGCAGGAAACAGTGTTTCAGGTGGCTCCGAAGAAGGAATGGAACTGACGGCTGGCTTTGACGTCCTCATCTGTACCGCCGCCTGTAGTTGAAGCAATGCTGCGTAGATAGTGATTTACCTTCAATCAGTGCATTCGTTTTTTATGTTGTATTCTTGATTTAATGTTTTTTAGCATTGTGCTTCTCAGCAAAACTGTATATGCTTCGCAACGGAGAGTCTTACTGTAGTATTGGATCGTATGTTTCGACTTAAAGTAAGTCCTATTGGTTTTCATTTTTGTTGTGTGATCACTTAACATTGTATATTGTGTATCTTGTACTCAATGAGATATACAGAAGGAAATACCCACCTGTATTATGCATTCTGCTGACATTGTTTAGACATCTAGAACTGTGGCTCATTGTTTTTCAGCGAGATGACTATTAACCATTGGGTTATGGGTTCGATTCCCACTGCACCCGCCAAGGTTTTAGCAGCCAAGTATTATCATGTGCCCTCACACTATAGGTGTCTCCCACTGCCTCACTCCATGAATTCTCACAAGGTTGCTGAGTGCATTTAGATTATCGTTTAAACATCCTTGCTTGTTTAATATTTAACAGTTGACCGACAGAGGAAGTCTTGTCTGACTTGAATTTCGTTGTTATTATAAATCATTTTGTAGAATACTTGTGTAAACTTTAAGAGATTCATTTTCTCTCCGAGATGATTAACTTCTTTTAAGGCTTTTCAATGATTGACTGTAAACACTTGACAATAATGATGGATAGCTGATAGCATTGGGGTCCAAAAAGTGTGTTTCATCCTGTTTGGGACTCGTCAACTGGATATACTAGGTGTTGTTTCCACTTGATGTCAGTAACGTTTAGATCTGTGTATAACTCAACTCAGTTAATAACATGGTAATCCATCTGAGTTTCAGAGTAAATCAAGTAAACTGTTAAATGATATTGAGTTTTTCTAAGGATGAACGTCTGCTTACACCGTTAATATAACCCATCTATATTCCACTCCCATCAAAAACCCAATTTGTCTATGAAGCATATTTGAAACCAGTAAACATCTAACCGGTACGATTGAAATCAGGATGTCATTGGAATGGGATTTTGGAGAATTAGATGAGTTAATTGATTTCAATTAAAAAAAATAATCATTCTTCATTCTTTGATATCTTAGGATATCCGCTGGTGTTTTAGAAACACAAAACAAATAGTATTCTAATCTAGAAATTACTAAAGGTAAGTTGATATAAGTCTTCTTCAAGACACCTAACCATGTTGATTTCTTCAACTGTGTTAAGGAAACTTGAAGTTTTAGATGCTATTTTGTTCTTTAAGTTGAATGATTCTACTGTATAATTACTTTTTCAATCTTAGTTGCCAACGTTGTGAAGTATTGTGTTGTACATATTCCCTGAATCTTTCCCTTTTTAGTTGTCTATCATTTACTGATATTTCCGTATCCCATAATGAGCATCGGTTACCATATCATGTGTCTTCAACTAATTTCTCACCCATGGGACAGTCGATACAGATCGGCTGGAAATTAGTAAAAAGGGATGAAAGATATATGGTACATCTGATGATCAACGATCCTCATCATACGAGTTAAAAATATCAACAAATGATAGACAGCTAGTAAAGAAAACTTCCTACTTTAAGTGACTTTGGTACATGCAGTTGGCACACTATTTCATATGGTTGAAGGATACTGAATTCCTGAGTAGTTTAGTGTTTTTTCTGAACGTACTTCTGGCTCTATGGGTATCAAAGATCGAATTTAAGATATATATAAGTAGTCGATTGATTGAATGAAATTTATTTGAAATCAATAATAACCACTTTATCATTTAATTATTTTACTGTCTAGACTCCATCTTTGATCATGTTTGATACACGGAAGAGTAGTGCATCTTGTGCTGTAGCAACCAAACCATTTGGACAACCAGTTGGAATGGTTACAGCTAAAGATCTATTGCATTCAGTTATTTTGGGTCATTGTCACCGTCATCATCATCTTCATCCTCAACATTATCGACATTCTTCTCAGTCTAATCGAAATGGAAGCCAGAATCTTATGTCTAATGATGCTGATGAGCATGAAGCTAAAACCACTGACAGTTACAAGCGTACTATCTCCTATGAGTCTGGTATTCACTCTAGTAGTTGTCAAGATGGCTCAGAATTTATGCGTGCTAGTGATGTGCCGACTTTTGAAAGAATTCATTCAGAGAATACTAAGGAAAAGAAGCCTTCACAATCGCCAACATCGACATGTTCACTTTCTTCAAATGGAACATTTTCAGCATCCAGTTCAGATTCTGAAGTGTCTCAATCAATGTCCCGTGATCATTTCAAATCAAAATGCAATGATAATGCTGCGCCAAGTATTGAGTGTAACTGTAGTTGTCATCGTCGTGATAGTGGGAATAATAATGCTGCTTCATTGCATGTATCCAGCACTTCAGTGTCCAGTCGTCAACGTCAGCGTCGAGACTATCAAGATTCTATAGTTGGATCAACTAATGTAGGCCACGTTGATAAGATGAATTCTCGGCTGGCTTCACCATATAATCTGGTGCCTAATTCAGAATGGGATGCTGGTCGACGATCATCTGAATCGTATACAAAGCAACAGAAGACGAAAGAAAAGATGCATGCTTTAAATGATGGTCAGAGGTAATCGCTACTACCATTAGTGTATTTTTAAACAATTAAGCCCCTATGCTTATTTAGTACCAGGTTCGAGTTTCGGCGGGAACAAGATCACTCGCTGGAGTGCAGGTACATCTGGCTGACGGGTGCTAAATAGAGTGTTCGCCACCACCAAGCAAATTAAATTATAGCTGATTGAAGTCATCAAGTGTGCCTCGATACTGTCGGTGTTTTCATTTTTGAATGCAGGACAAGCGTTTCGTCCTTTTTGAGACTGAGCTATACTATAACCACCACACAAAGAGTGGGTACCTTGACCCAGTATCCTAGTGGGTAACACTCTGGCGTTTCAAGCTATCTGTCTCGGGTTCCAGTCTTGCTGGGAACGTCATCGCTTACTTGGAGGTAGGTACATCCGGCTGACGAGTGTCAAATAAGACAAAACGCGCGTTTTGGATTTCTCTGCTAACAACAAGCAAGCGAATTACTATGATAAAGATGTTTATTAAGTACTCCGTGACCAAGGGAGAGATAATGGATGTACAAACATTTTCCGGATACAGAGACTAGGATTATCAGCTCGAATCTTTACATCTGCTATGTGTAAAACATGAGTTCGAACACTTCGAAAGATTCGGTAGTATGCTACAGATAATCTTATTTGCCATCTGATCACTGTCAACGAAATGAGATAAAAGTGAACTTCTGATGAATTTTATCTATCCTTTGCCAAACCATGAAGGTAAATGCTTAGCAACACGTCTGTCTAATTGTCTACTAGTACGCCTTATATAGCTTTCTCCACGGCAGCAGGAACTAAATTTATAAACACTCATAAAAATAGCAAAACTAGACAACTTATCTTTCGTTTGAGCAATAACAGTTAGTCAACTGGGAAATAATAAACTGAGTTGGGTACTTTGTGACTGTTTTTCAATCGATATATCTTAATAACAGTTTACTGAAGTATTAATTTATCAGTAGTCAAGAGAAATCAATAGAAGTTTTTAAGTGGTCAAAGGGTTTTTTATAAAACACTTATCACTGACTGACAAATTCATATAATTAGTCTGATTTTTTGATAGCTATTTATATTCCAGTGAAATTTGAAGAATATCTAATTGTTTGTTTATATGTCTTATTATAAACTACAAGATGCAACAAAACAGACAGACAAGACATAGTTTCAGCGAAGGAAATTTTTGTTCTTTTTAGCGAAGTCATTTACTAAGCCGTACATTCGTGAATATTATTGTTACAGTGGGGAGCACATTCCAGAATTGTTTCCAGTCAGGGGTAAAATATATTGAATAACTAGTATAATTGTTTTTATATGATACCGTCGTTGATTGGAGCGAATTGATCGGTCTCTATTGGTATATCGGCTCCTGTGCGGATGCCTCGATATTGCCTGTGTTTTAATTATGTATAGTAATGATTGGCAATGGCTAGAAGTGGAATCCAGAATGCACATTTTGTCCTATTTGGGACTCATTGGTCAGCTGGATGTACCTGCTTCCCAGTGAGTGTTGTTCCCACCGGGATGCGGACTCGATAGTGATCGCTTCAAACGCCAGAGCGTTATTCACTACACCACTGGGGAAGCAGGTACATCCAGCTGACGAAATGTGCACCCTGGATTCCACTGCTAGCCGTGATCCATCATTAACATAATTAGAACGCAGGCAATATCGAGGCATCCACACAGGAGCCCATATGCCAAAGAGACCGTTCAATTCGGTCCCATCAACGACGGTATCATTTAAAAACATTTGTACTAAAACTATACCCGTCGCACAAGAAGTGGCTATCGTGGCTCGGTGATGAATTGGATAACGCACTGGCGTTTGAAGCGATCCCCCCCCCGAGTCTGAATCCCGGTGGGAACAACATCACTCATTGGGAGGCAGGTACATCCATCGGATGAGTCCCGAAAAGGCATCCTAGATTCTACTGCTAGGACCATAAAAACAGGACTGTGATTACGTAATGCAGGTTAAATATATGACAGAGTAGAAAAATGAATAAGGTATACATGTGTAGTTACCTCATGCAAATGAATCTATGGCAGACAAGGCTTTATGATGGCCATGGCAAAGATAAAGGTTAGACATACCTTTTTTGGATGCATAACGCACTAACTTGACGGGATTGGTGTTTAAAATCGGGATGTCGTTGATGCTTTATGATGAGTGGAGTGGAGTAGAGTTGATCTCCACAGTGGTTTGAGGCTGATGAAGGAAGGTCTGTCTTGCTATGTTTCTGATCGTGGCTGGCTTTGATGTCCTCGTCTGTACCGCCACCTGTAGTTGAAACGACGCTCGCCTGGTTAACTAGTTCACTATTTACCAGCCGGTCCTAAGCCCCCTGGTAAAGAGGGAAGGTTGGGCTTAGGGCTAGCAACTTAACCCCTTAAAACCAATCCAACCCATACAGAAACTTTAACGCACAGATACAATATTAAAAAATCCATATGCTTTAGAATGTTTAATTTATTGATTTGGGATCAATCATCACTGTATTTCGTAAGTGATAGCTACTATCTAGAAGTAGTAATTGGGCTTGCATATCACAATGATCGGATAAACTATGCTGGTGGAAATTTTATTCTTTCAAGGTCCTTCCTTCCATGCCACAAAGTTTGTTGGATAGCGTTGAGACAAAAAGCAGTTGCCGTTACAGTACAAATTGCTACGCTGTGGTCAAGGTTCAAAGACAGAGATGTAACAGTAGCGGAAGTTTTCCTGCGGATACTCCACAGTCCATTCTGATGCTGTCTCCCCTGTGTGAAAAGGGTAGTTAGAAAATGTTAGCGTCAATAGTAGCACACTCCCCTATCCTGCGGTCTTACGGTGCCGGCGGTTTGGACTTTCTAGGTGGATGCGAAACAATAAAGGCTGATCTTCAACCCCCCTAGAAAACCCAAAACCATGTCCCTTGAGTTTCACAGTTACACCTGGCTATTAGTAATATGACTTTTCTTTCAGGCAATTCAAGAAGAAGTAACTTTACAGAGAGTGGACAGCGTGGAAGTGTTAACAGCCCTCATAACTCTGTCAGCACCCAAGTTCCCTAAGATTACTATCAACCTTCCACATCATTACCTTCTAATCTTTCCTCAGCTCTTGATAACAATTTTACTTCACGGAATGGCATCTCTGGCCCCCTTAAACCTCGCCCAAAACTACACATTAGAGCTTTCAGTGTTTCCACCCTCCATCAAATAGACCAACAAAACTCACTAACCGAAACTCTTGCATCTCGGGGCATGGATGTATATTGTGTTTGTAAAATACAGAGGTAGAACTCAAGAACGGCTGTTCACTTAACCGCACTATGTTAACATGGTGAATGTGTGTAGTCCATCTTTTGAGTTTCCGCAGCTTTGATAACTAGTTTTTGACGTCTTTCAGATGTAATAATTGCTGAAAGTGCACTCGTCGACTGGATCCTAGTTGGCAGTCACCTGTCCATTGTTAGACTGAATTGCACTATGAGGACTATAAAGAATGGTGAAACTTAGCGTTGTCTCCTTGTAATCTGTGCTAACTCTAGCTGTAGTTCAGATGAAGTGAAGGATGATCAGTTTGATCTAGTGCTCATTGGCTACTAGCTTCGAGAGATGATTCCCAAAGTTCTAATGAGAAGTTGTGATCGGTGGGGCGAACGTGGTGGACGTGAGGACATATACTCAACGATGAGATTGGGTGAGGGTCACGCTATGTTGTGAACTGATAGAAGTTGGAAATGTAGATCACGGGACTCCAACTCATGGCTCAATGGTAGCGTGCTGACCACGAAACCTGAAGGTTCTGGGTTCGATAAGTGGTGGGGTAGGGCGGGGTCATGGGTGTTCACTTCTGAGCAGTTCCATACCAAGATGAAACGGCTGTCCAGTGCGACCAGGTTTCCAATGTTCCTCCAACTGATATCAGTTCATGATGAATACAAACTTGAAATCATTAAATCCCCACAAACCCTTAAATTAAATTTGGAAATGATTTAGAAAATTGCAGGGTGGATATGATGTGTGAGATTACCATGTTACTTGAAACTTAAGAGATGCGCCTAAACTGGAGTTGTGGTTCATTGGTCTGGGAACTTGACTTTTTTAAGCAATGAGTTCAGGTTCTGATCCCACCACCATTGTCACCACTTTCTACAAATATGGTTTATAACCCAATAAATAAACATGAACAAGGTTGAATTGAAATTGAATTATTATGATCCATCTCTCGGTGACTTTGTTGTAACAACTTTGTTTTCGATAAAAAAAATTTGTACTATATCTTGTCATTAATATTGCTAATAATAATAATAACTTTATTCTGAAATAAATTTTAAGAATATTTTACAGAACCTTTAGCATATAATACAGCATCAATACGGGTCTTATTGAGAGCTGAAAACAATCTGATCGAAATCGATTTGTGTTCAACAACCTTGTGCACATTGGTGTAGTAGGCAGTGAGTCGTATCTATTGTCTGACTATTCAGATTTCGATAGGTGAAGCGCTGTTTGAACTCATGGCCTACTGGCTGAAAATCAACTGTCGAAACCAGTTAGCCACAGCTACACTTAACAACCTGATACGCAGGTGAAAGATATGGAAATTATCTGGTCATCAGCATACCTAGATTAAGAAGTCAAATCCCAGAAATAAAGAGAAGCAAGATCACCTTGGATAACACCAGCCTCAGTAAGTAGTGGAGTGGAGCGCTTCCCTCTGTAGACAATATATTGTTTCCTTCCGAGGAATTAGGACTACAGTGAGTTAGCGATCTACAACTCAACAAAAAGGTCTTCCGATGGAATAAAAGTCTAAAAAAGCACACCTGACTTCAGACTATGATCAGCACTAAGATCTAAAGTGGTGGTGGCATCTAAGTCACTTCTTTTATATATACAACTTACTTGTCATCACTGAAAGCCTTCAGTGAAAGTTTAAGCATAGGTAATGTCAGCTTCTCCATTACTTTTAAGAGTGGAGTGGTAATTCTGATGGGTTGAAAATACAAACACGCTCCAGAAGACATGGACTTAAGTACTAGAACTATATCAGTAACATTCCAGATAGTTGGCATGGCATTATTTGAAAAGGGTTAATTGGAAATGGTAACTAGTGGATGGCATAATATGTATCAGTACATTTCATGAATAGGCAATTTGAAATATCATCCGATTCCAAGCTGTACGAGGAGTTCATTGATATTACACCATACAGACTTGTGTAATATCCCTTCACTATATAAAACATTTACCAGCCTACCTCTATAGTAATATCTTACTGATAACATAGGACAAAATTAGGTTTCACAAGCAACCAGGAGACTTGTAACTACAGATACGATTGTTCAGTATACTGAATGATCTTAACCGATGAAGAACCGCCGATTTTGTTACTGATTCCCCCACCTACCATGTGAAAACATGAAAACACTAGCCTGGAAAATGTAATCGGACAAAGTAGTCTTTTTTTCAGATTGAATTGATCGCTTAGCTTGTGTATTCAGCTGACAAACTTCTCAGTATCATTCCCTACATAATTAGTCATGAGTATGACTTTGTGATTGAGTGAAGTGACTTGAATACGCTGAGGTATTTACTACTTAGTTGGATTCCAACCTGACTTAAATTCACTAATATTCGATGTACTATTTGACGATGTATATTTTTGATGTCAATGAAAACTCCAAATATTCTATCATGAAGTCTTGTTTTAATTTTCTAATGATACTGGTGTTTATAATAAAATACATGGTTATAATGAAGTAATTGGGTGCTTGGAGAAACGTTACATATGACTGGACTTGCATATGGCATCAATTCATGAAGACTGTGTGAGCCGGATGGGGAAATGTTGAGTGGTGAGTTTCGGTTCCTCTAACAACCTATACCGGTGGCTGAAGACTTGAGGTGATATGCCCACACATTATCTATACCTTAATTACCAAGCTGAATTTCAGTAATGTCTCATTCTTTCTCGTTCTCCGTTGATATCTTCCTATCAGTTTTGATTACTTTGTTGCTTGCTTATTTATTCACCTTTCATCTTGATAAATTCTGTTGTAACGTATGACAAACTGAACTGTTACGTATTGATGCCACATTCCATGACCTACTAACTAACTGACTGATTGACTGATTTATTATATCTAAATGGAATGTATATCAATGAGTCTTGTCAACTTTCTACTTGGTTCCGTCATAATGCAGAGAAATACTCAGGTGCCTACAATGAGAGAAGAGTAGTGATTCCGGAAATTATGTTGATCGGTCGGTAATGAATATCACACGGTTTATTTCCATTTTATGACTAGAATTTATCAATCAAGTTGTTACTATGATTGCTATGTTAGGAAATTTGTTATCTTATCTCACATTTATATTGGATGATGACTGAGGGTGTAATGTAAATTTGAACCAGTGACCACACCGGGTTTTCGACCAGCTGCTGTACCAACTGAGCTACGAAGTCCAACTGCTGACCAGGATTTTATTTCACTTCAATCACTAAGGGTTTTGCCCGACTACTATGTGAATTCATGACGCGTTACTACCGCTTGATCGTATTCACACTGGCTGGCCACCAGTCAGGACTTCTCATTCCAAATCCAAATCTAACTGAATTACAATGAGAGGGGGAGCATCATATCGATTATCATTTTGACCATCCGAGATAGCTGTAGTCTGGCAGACTTGTATTGAGAGCGGGTGGTGATTGAAGGTGAAACGAAAATTTGAACCGTAGGCGGATTCAAACTAATGACCCCCTCTAATTCAGTTCGATTTAGACTGGGATGAGAAGTCCTGACTAGACAGCCATTGTGAACGCGATCAAGCGGTAATCAGGTAAAACCCTTGATGACTGAAGTGAAATAAAAATCTGGTCAACAGTCGGACTTCGTAGCTAGTTGACTTGGTAAAGCGTCGAGCCAGAAACCCGGTGGTAGCTGGTTCGAATCCAGGTGCAGTCCAAATTTCCATTTCACCTTCAACCATCACCCAGTATCAGCTACAAGTCTGCTAAACCATGGCTGTCTCAGATGGTCAAAATGAATATCATTTATTTGGAGACAGTCGTCAGGATGCTTTAAACTTAAATTTCTTGCTCATCTGTTCGGATCAGGAGGATATGTATCGACAACTTTAACAGGAATTGGCATACGTCATAGTCAGACGGACGAACAGACTAAATCAACGTGGAACATCATGCACAGAAGTGCATCACTACAGGTTGTCACACTTCACAGTATCATTTAAAAGAACAAATGGATGGAAAAAAAGTTATATCAAAGTAGATAAAGTTATATGATAGAATAAACAATTTGAAGATTAGGGTTAGTGTGAATACTAAGGCTTTCGATGACGTCACCGTGATTGATTTTCAGCCATTCCACTTAGAGTCAGTCCTCGACCATTGATTATATATCACTGTAGTCAGAGTTGGCGCTGTCAAGTTGTTCATATCATCAACTGATCATGGAGAAAATAAGCGGTTTCCAATTGTACAGTATTCGGTATCATCACCTGTGGTCTTCAGTAGTGCTGCAAGCGAACAGCTTTGTATCTCAGAATAATTACTACTCATATAGTGAGAGGAGTGAGTTGAATTTATGGGGAGTCTTTTCCACTCTTTTATCGTGTCTCATAAAGTTTGTGTTATCTATTATAGCGCTATATATTATGTATTTATCTAACAGTAATGACTTTTTTTTAATTATTGTTTAGAAGACTTAATGCAGCGTTTGTCTTGAATAAAACAAAACAGCCAGTTCATAACAATGATTCTAATAATTCTCTACTTCTACTATTATCCAACAACAGTTTGAATACAGTTGATGAATTGAATATTGGTGAAGATGTTTCTTCTTCTCAACTGGACAATCATACTAAGCATAGGGATAAATATATCAAAGGTAAAATTCCCAACAGAGAGGAAGATGATACTGTCTTTCCTATGGACTAGAAAAAATGGATTTTAAACTCTGAGATTTACGTCAACACATAGACACATCCGTAGATGCCTAATATCGTGTATACTGACTAATTGAATTCCCCCATTGTATAACTTTCTTGGTGTTACTAATCCTTTTTGTGCTCAATGTCATCATTATTCATCAATATGTTTTTGTTATACCACCTTTTCATGCTTCAACTTTTTTATTATTATAAAAAGTGAATCTTCCATTGATGTATTGGTAGAAGAAATTACTGGTGAACATTTTGTTTTCACTATCCTCAGGCACTGAGGCGCACATCAGAGTGGAGAAATTTCTTTTGTGCTCCATGTATGTCGCCTTCTCATTCATTCATTCATAGCAAACAAAACAGCTTGACAGGCACATTTAGTATTTATACATATACTACTCATATATAGATAGTCGTCACCGTGAGATTCCTGCTTTTTTATTCATATTCCTTTCTCCTTTTTGTTTATAATGCCTTTTTTGTTAAAACTAATGAATTAAATATATATTTAGTGATAGTAACCTAATTATGACTTCTCTTTATTACTGTATGATGTACTATCGTGCGACTGACATGTATTTCAGATGGAGATCTATTTATAGGCAATCTCTGTTGAGAAATCAATATCATATACATCTGATCTAATATGTGAAACTCATATATCCAACTTTCTGCAGACTATCCAGTCTCATTCGTATAGGGCGTCTTTCACCTATCAATTGTCAGATGATGCTCTAAGACTGGTTTACAACCACTCCAAGTTTAATGATCGGGAGTGAAGTAGTGGAATGCATCAGCCCACTGAATGGGCTGGGTTGCTAATAGAGATCTCAGCTTGGAGGATCGTTTAGCATTTGACAACTTGCTTCACTTGTAACACCAACTGCCAAGACATCCGACGATCTATGAAAGGAAGAGTATACTGCGCTGCGGTTCTTTCTGTTTTGACATATGGCCATGAGACAGTTAAAAGTAGAAGGTATGAAGGGGTTTCAGAGCTTTGGTCATAGGTGTCTTCGTAGAAGTGCACGCACGTGTTGGAATCACTGTATAAGCAATGTAGAGGTCGGACGAAGGATTGATAAGGTTGTGAACCTTATTCGACTAAGATGGCTTGGACATACATTGTACATACCGATCCACAGCGTACGTTGAGGTTGCCTGCTAGGAGTAGATGGATTCGGCTGTTAGAGTGTCCATGGTGGCCAGACCAAGACGTGGTATCAGTCGATGAAGTGTCTTACTGTTGGTTCGAGTTGTGTAGGATGTAGACTGTCTACCTTGGATTCCTAAGACGTAAAGAGTCAGTGGTTGAGGACTGATTCTGGATAACATCACTGAAAGTCGGTCACAGTGGCGTAGACATTTAAAGCTTGAATACTGGCAACATCTTAGAATTGTTTATTCTCTTACAGTACCTTATGTACTTTTTTATGAGTCTTTTTCTATCCACTTTTTCTTTGTATACTATTGTAAATTGTGGTAATTTGGAGTGATGTGCCTTTGTGCGAGGTTCCGCGTCGATTTCCTCTGTCAGTTAGAACTTTAGGAGGGGAAGAGCAAAAGACATTGGTGTGTTGATGGTGCCATAGATATTGACGAAAGGTCGCCGAGAATTATTGATTCGATTGACTGAAGTGTTAACTGGGTTACGGAAAACAAGCGTAATACCCTGTGACAAGTCTTAATTGCTGAATACTTCAGTCTTCAAGAAAGGCGAGGAATCGTCCTGTTATATAACCACAAAAGAAACAGTTTACCGAACAACGTATCTGGTATCACAGGTCCGATTATCGTACGACGCCTAACTAGGGCTTGGATACACTAGATTCTAGAAGACTTTGTACATTTCGAAACTGGTCATGAGTGAATCCGACAAATAGTCCTGGAACTTACGCACATTTACCGATTCTGGCCATGTCTTTTTAATAAAAATGGTGCCGGGTAAGTACATGACTCTTTCAAACGGTAGTTATCTTACTGTGAGTTGTCTACGTTTAGTAATTTCCGTCAAGGTGTCCACTACCTGGATTTATATTTAACTTGACATACATCAACAGATACATATCTCTCTTTCCGTGTATAATTTCAAAGCGAATGACTGACTCATGAATGACTCATTCGGGATTCTTTAGAATGTTTGCAATCTGCAGAAGATATTGTCCCGTCAAATGAACACGCAGTGAATGTTTTCATTTGACATAAATCATTGCTTCTACCGAGTATTATTCACACCACTACTGCAGAACGTCTGGAAGGAAGGAAAGGTACCTGGCGATTGGAAGAAGGGCTACCTTGTCAAACTACCAAACAAGGCAGACCTAAATATTTGCAAGAACTGGCGCGGAATCATGCTCCTGTCCCTGTCCATCCAAAGCAAACAAAATATTAGGCCTCATCATCCTGGAAAGAGTAAACGATCCTCTGGATTCAAAACTACAACCAGAACAGGCTGACTGGCTGGATTCAGGAAGTATAAATCATGTGCGGATCAAATTGCAACACCACACTACGCATCATCATCATAAAACATAGCATAAAATGGCAGTCAACTGCATATCCACCTCAACTTCATCGACTTTGAAAAGGCCTTCGACAGCGTCGTCCGAGAAGTAATTTGGAAACTGCTTCAACACTACGGAAGTCCACAAACTTTTATCAACCTCATTCAACAGCAGCTATATGAAGACGCCACATGTCAAGTAATTCACAATGGGAAGCTCCGTGATGCCTTTGAAGTGAAGACAGGAGTAAGACAAGCATGTTTACTATCACCAATGATCTTCATGAATGTATTGGATTGGATTATGCAGCAAACAGTTAGGAGTGAGAAGAAGTGGATACACTGGATCGGGGAAAAGAACCTTGCAGATTTGGATTTCACCAGTGATGACGTGTGTCTAATGTCACACAAACTCGAAGATCTACAGGCAAAATCCAACAAGTTGACAGAAGGGGCAAAGAAGGGCAGGGCAGCGAAGATGGGACTTCAAGTGAATATAGAGAAGACAGAGGTGATGAAGATACCCAACCAATACCACCACGACCACCAACAAGCTCCAATCACCATCAGCGGGAGAAACTTAATAAAGTAGCCTCATTCACCCATGTGGGGAGCATCGTTTTAATTACCGGTTGCGGAACAGACGAGGATCTCAGAGACAACCAGGATCAGAAAAGCAAGACAGGCTTTCACTAATCTGAAATCACTGTGGAAATCTGCTGCACTCAACACAAAGAACACGATACGGATTCCTAATGCCAACGTCAAGTTAGTGCAGCTATGTAGTGGTTTAGAGATTTGGCGTGTTACGAAAAGCATTTCCAACAAACTAAAGATATTCATCAACAACTGCCTTCGCTGGCTCTTTACTGAAGCTCAGATGGCGAGAACCTCCTTATGCAATGGTTTCAAGAGTTGTACCAGCCATTTCGCCGTCGCATGGTATGGAGAGTTTGACCGACCGATACCATGCGACGGCGAAATGGCTAGTACAACTCTTGAAACCATTGCATAAGGAGGTTGTAAAGCATAGCGTCAAAGATACTTTTCACTTTATCGATAAAATAAGAGATTTGAATGTGAATAATAAGTCTATGATATCCTTAGACGTATCATCCCTATTCACAAATGTCCCTCTGATGGAAACAGTGGACTTCATATGTAGCGAACTGGAAAAAAGAAACATAGAAATTGGAATTACGGCATCCACCTTGAAAGAGCTTCTCTTACGATGTACAATGAATGTACACTTTCTCTTCAATAAGGAATTCTATAGACAGTCAGACGGTGTCGCTATGGGGTCACCACTAGGCCCAATCTTAGCGGATTTCTTTTTAGCAAAATTAGAAAATGGCCCTCTGGAAAGCATCATAAGCGGGTTAGAATTTTATTGCCGTTATGTAGATGATACATTCTTGATTGTGAATAACGAGGACGATGCAAGGATCATACTGGATGAATTCAATGGCGTCCATCCAGCAATAACCTTCACTATTGAAACAGAAAGTGACGACAGCATCACCTTCTTAGATGTCCGATTGACAAGGAAGGTGGATGGAACTATAAAAAGAAGTGTGTATCGGAAACCAACGTCAACAGGTCAATACACCCACTTCTTGAGTTTCGTCCCCTTGCAATATAAACGAAATCTCGTTAAATGTTTGGTCCATCGGGCGAGACTCATCTGTTCAGATGATACTTTTGACGAAGAGCTTCAAATTATCCACGATCTACTCAGTAGTAATGGATATCCAGAAACGTTCCTGGCTAAAAATATGAACACATCCAATATGAAAACCAGAATGCCTACAGTCTCCAAGAAACCATTGTTCCTAAGACTACAATTTCGAGGTGACATCATCAGCGAAATTGTGACACAACGCTTAAGAAATGCCATAAGAAGATCATTTAATGCCGCCAAGTTATGTTGTGTTTTCTACAGCCGGCCGATGATGACCACACGAACTAAAGACAGACTCCCTGACTTCTCCTCTTCTATGTGCATTTACCAGTTCAACTGCTCCTGTGGAGCTAGTTACATTGGACGTACAGTTAGGCAAGTCCGTCGTCGAATCGCCGAGCATCATCCTTCATGGCTAAGTAAGGGGGAAACCAGATCGACACGAAGCTCAATACTCTCTCATCTGATTGACACCGGCCACCGAGTTAACATTCATAATGCCTTTAAAGTTATTTATCACATTCCTTCTCACCTCACCCATCCTCTACGAGTTCGTCTTTTACATACAGCAGAAGCCATAGGAATCCACCTACACAAGCCAAGTCTGTGTGTTCAGAAGAGATTCGTACAGCCTCTTTCTTTGCCTTGGCCATCTGTATAGCTCATTTATTACAACAAGACTCTTCATTTCATCCACCACACAATTCACTATAACTAACATTTTAATAGCCCCATTATTATTATTATTATTACTATTATTATTATTATTATTATTATTATTATTATTATTATTATTATTATTATTATTATTATT